TATCTCCCTTTTCCTTGGAATGGCGTGCGAGGAACTCGGCTTGGCGCAGTGGTGCTTCCAGCAAGCATTTTGCCTCTTGCAGATCTCGAGCTCTGGTTGCCGAGACAGAACTGAGGCATCCCGGCGTGGGGCACTAGCTTGATGTAATCACCACCTGCCCGGAAAACCGATCCGAGCTGAGGGATTATGTTGGAACAAGCTGAGTTGTGGGTATAACGAACTAGAACAGCCCAGCTCTGTCAGGAGGACTGGTGTTGCCTTGTGTGTGCTACAGAAAACAAGGACAATAATCCCACACCTGAATGTGCATATGGGGAAGAGCACAAAAAACCAAGTCGACATAAATCTGTTCTTGTGAGCTATCTGTATCCTTCTAACCAATGTGTTAAACCAGCTCAGAAGGAAGCAACTCCATGCTATTTACAGTATCCCCCTGTTAACAGCTTACAGCGCCAATGGCTTTAGAAACCCAAGGCTGGGTTTGGTTTGGATATACCACTGGCAATTGGGAGATGTGGGTTTGTAATCCCTGAGAGTAGAACAAATTCTTAAAAGAATTCTTAAATTCTTAAAAGAATTTTCCCTTCCTTTATCTCCTGTCTTAGTGGTTGAGATCCATCAGCTGCTGCTTCCACAGGTATTTCCAGGTGCTCATATTCCTTCACTACCTCTTCCTGCGTGAACTTTGGGTTTACAGATTTGTCCCCTCCTTTCCCAGGAGCGGCTGGGATTTATGAAGTTAGCCTCTAGCTTAGCCAACTGGCCTTTGCTTAGGTTTGTCTATAGTTAATGTGAGGAGAGAGGTTCCTTTAGACATTAAGTGAAAGTTTCACATCTAGCTTTCTAATCTTCATCTGGTGGGGTCACTCTTGCTTCACTGAACACAAGAATTGGAAGGGATGAGCAGGCTAATTCACCCTGTTAACTAAAGTTAGCAGTAAAAACACTTTCTCAGAGACCCCACACTTGATTCCTTCATCTTCTCTCAATGAGGGATGAAGGACTGAAATACACATGCACCCATCAGTGCTACCACCCAATCTAGCAGTTAAAGTATTGGGGTAATTTTGTTAATGGATTTTCTTTAGGAGATTTTTATTAGCTTTTTCAAAACTCAGGGCAAATAAGCTTTATTTTTCATTTCCGTGAAAGCTTACTTCACAATTTCCAGCTCCTAGCCCAATTATTTTTATTGGTTCCCCTATGGCATAGGAACCAGAACTGCTGATGTGATCCTTGGTGCTCAAGGGAGGGAAGGCCATGTGTGCACTTTGTTGAACCTAATGCTGGCTGCAGTGGCTGCAAGCTGCCCTGAGGGCCATCCCCGTTCAGTCTTACTGAGGGGAATGAAGGCATTCCTGCACTCAGTTACCCACCTCACCCTGTGCTGGAGGTTCTCCCTGTCTGCAGAGGGAAAACAAGCCAGTACCTGGGCTGCTCCATCCTGTAGTCAGTTTGAATTCAACATGAAAAGGAGCCTGCACAAGGATGCTGAAGCGGAAACCAGACTGTCTACAGGGCAAGTATTCCAGAAGAGATGTGCCCCAAAACTCAGGACAGCAGTGTCTTATGACACTAAAGCTGGACATGGGTCAAAGCCCTGGCCTATGCTGAATCAAACCGTTCTTTAAACCATCTGTTTTGCGCTAATATAAAACTCTTTGGTTGGAAGTACAAAGCTGCCTGAGGTCTTTAAAGGTGCTTAAAATGAGCTGTCTTCACTTGCAGCTAATAAAACTTCCTGAGCTTTCATTCTCAGTGTCTATGCCAGGACAAAAAACTACAAGGGAAAATACTTGGTTTTGCTAACTGGGTGCCCAACACCATTCAAGTCTGTAGCCAAGATTAAAAGTCTAAAGTGAATCACATAGTTCAACAGTCACAGGAAAATGTGTGCAAGTCCTGCAATAAAGCCTTTTGGCTATTTTATTTTATTCTACAAATAAAGACAACTGTCCATCATTAAATGGAAAAAAATAATAGCTTGAGTTGTATATAGCATGAAACAGTAGTTCCCTTCACAAAAACATTTCTAATCCATTAGTTTATTACAAAATACCCACTCACAAAAAAGCACAAGCACAATCTTTATACTTGTGAAATGAGTTGATATTTCATATACAAAATAATTTCCACATAATTCCATATAATTTTATTTTATATAGAAATAGGTCATTATTACAACAGCTGTACAATACACTACTTTTTGTTTAATAATTACATAAAATCTTTCTTAGAAACATATCAACGGAAAACATACAAAAAAAGCGAAAAGTGCATTTTCTTTTTTTTTTCATCCAAAGGAAAATTTAATCCTAAATGTTATAATGAAAGAGATATGTAATAGTCTGCAGCATCCCAAGACAGTGGGCCAAAACACAGTGCATATTTCTCAGAGACTTGGAGTGGGTTAGTTTAGGTTGAAGGATTCATGTTGTACTACTGGAGAATTGCATGATTGTGCTTACAATTTGAGTTCTCCTTTGCAATCACAAATCATGTAGGAAACAGTCCAGTGTGGGTTGTGGGTTTGTTTTTTTGGTTGGTTGGTTGGTTTGTAGTAATGAAGAACAGTTAGGGTAAGCTGCATAATACTTTTCAGATTCTAAATCAAGGGTTATGAGCTGTAGACCATCTTCACCAATGGCTGGGCTTTTTCCTCCATTGGATGTGCTAATTTGGCCACAAGAATAAAGAAACAAACTTCTCTTTACAGAAAGTGCCTAGGTTTTTTCATCTGTGCAGTTGTGCAAAATAATAACAATAATCATAATAAAAATAATCTCTTGTTCTCTCCTCGATAGACCTTTGATGCAGTGCTTTTCATACACAAAAGAAGAACTGAAACAGTGAAGGCCAAGTACCTCATGAGTCTGTCGACAGTCTTTTAGAATTGCCAGATGGCTTCCAGAGTGACACACCAGGATTGAACACCTCTTCCCGTGCTCCCAGTGGTGATGGAGGCTGCACAGGACAGTGCCTGTTTTTATTTTGCTCTGCCAGTGCATCCTGTGCTCACAACACAGCGCAAACGGAAGCCAGTGTGCCCTGAATGCACTGTCTGTGGCATCTGCACTCTGGGTGTACTTCTGTTGTAGAGCTTGGAAAGAAATGCTTGTGCAAAAGCCAGAACAGTAAGTACACAGTCATTCTCTTCTGCCCCATGTGCCCATTGGTTAAAGCTAATCGTGCATTGATTGTGCTGGTGGGACTCTATCGCAGTGGCTGTGGTAAATTTGATGATTCTGATAAACTATTCCTTCTTCTCGATGTTAGTTGTTGCTGTTGCTGCTGCTGCTGTGTCTGATGATACCCCATATTTCCTTGCTGTGGTGAGTAAGATGGCAGGAGCAAAGAATCGGGTTGTTCATTGTGCAAAGAACTTGGTGTTTGCACCTACAGATAAAATAAAATTTATCATGGTGTTTGATTTTTTCATGCGTTTTAATGCTCTTTATCATCAGGTTGCATGATGCTTAAAAATACTACTGATTTGCTGGCTTTTATTTCTGGAGCTGTTTGGCATGAGGTTAGCTTAACTAATGCTAGAAGGAATGGACATAAATTGCAACAAAGAACATTGCAATTAGGCATTGAAAAGGTTTTCTCATAGTAATGCACTGCCTGGGATTTGCAGGTTATCCTGAAAGGCCTGTTTGGGAACAGCATGGGTGAACATGTCAGAAAAGACAAGGATGGATGGCAGAAATGGAACAGGATTCTAATGTGCCTCATGCTGTCCCTTCTAGCCCTTCCTTCTCCTGAGCTTAAATTTGGGCGTGACCTTGCAGTGTTGAAGTTGATGTGAATTTTGCTGATGCTTTATTAGAAACAGTATGTGCCAGACTTTTTTTCATTAATTCTCAGGCTACGATAAGGATTTCATTTCAATAACAAGAGTTCAATCATTTGAGGTTGGTTATACTCTTTTAGTGATGCCATTGGATATGTGACCAGCCTGCATAGACTCAGTTCAGCTCCTGTTGAACTAATACAGAGACACCTCATTTCCCCCTTTTACTTTAGTATGTGTTAAATTAGGTCAAAAAATAAGTATTTTTACATCTTCAAATCACCTGGTTCTTCCAGGCAATGTGCTCCACTTTATCTTCTTTGCCTTGTGGAGTTGAGAAAATATATTAATTTCCTGAAGGGATCCAGATATCTGATCCAGATCTATTTTATGTTGATGCTGGTAATTAAAAATCATCTTTTGACTTGTAAACTAAGCAAATTTTATACTGAATAAAGAGAACAGAACAAATCCTAAGGCACTGATTTTCTCTAGCTGGAAATAAACTTTAAATATATCCAAGATAATCTGATTATGCTTTAAATGTACAGAATTAGATATTTCCTTTTAAATATTCTGACTATTCCCACTGCTCCCTTGCTTTACTAGTACTGGCCATTGTAGCAGTGTGTCACACATCAGAAGTCACAATCTCTTAAAAGGACATTTCTGCCAGGATCAGCAGAAACCTGGGGCCCCATTTGCACAGCCCACTCACCTTGTTACTCTGTGTGCACACTTTATACATCATCCTCTTTGTCCTACCTGCAGGTAGCGTTGTTGCTGATGCTGTTGGTGCTGGAGTTGCATAGGTGGCAAAGAGGATGGCTGGGAAGGAGGAGTAGTGGTGAACCCTTGGTTTAACACTGCTTGTCCCATCAGTATGATTGGAGAGCTGCTGCTGGAAGTCTGCACTTCCAAACTTTGAAACATTTGTTGTGTTTGAGAATACCTGTGGAAGAAAGAAGCATAATAATCAAGAACAACGTGTTGGAAACAAAGGTTTTCTCTCAGAATGGGGATAGCAATCCCTAGTCTTTGTAAATCATAGAATCACAGCATGCTGTGGGTTGGAAAGGACCTTAAAGACTGCTAGTGCCAACCTACCTCCCATGGGCAGGGATATCTTCCACTAGACCAGGCTGCTCAAAGCCCCATCCACCAATCTGGCTTTGAACACTTACAGGGATAGGGCATCCACCACTTCTCTGGGCAACCTGTTTCAGTGCCTCATTACCCTCACAGTAAAGAATTTCTTCCTAATATCTAATCCAAACCTGCCCTCTCAGTTTAAATTCAGTAACTTTTGTCCTATTCCTATATGCCCTTTTAGAAAGTCTCTTCCCTTCTCTCTTGTAGCCCAGATATTGGAAGGCTGCTGTAAGGTCTCCCCGGGCCTTCTCCAGCTGAAACACCCCAGATAATTCCCTATAAATGATTCCAGTGCATGGGACCTGCTAATATGAACAACAGCACTACTGGCAGCACTGCTTTCACTTACTCTGTGCATGAGCTGGACTTGGAGGGAAGAATACATCTCACCTCAAAATCCAGATCACATTTTTGATTCATTAAGGATTTAGGTTTATGCACATCTTGTCTTCAGCCACAGCATTCACATCCCCAGCTCATTAAACCAAATGGCCTTTGATTCTGTTTTAATATGCTGAGGCCTGAACTGCAGCAAGAGACAATCAAATGCACCTCCAGTCCTGCTGCCTGTGCTCCCCTGTGACTGCCTGGGGGGTGGTAATCTGCAGAAACATGGCTAGGGTTGATTACTTCTTAAGCTGCTCACACACATATTGCCATGTATGATCAGCATTTCCCATCACCATGAGCCCTGCTCTAGGAATAGAAGAAGCCTCTAGAAACCCTCTGGAACAAGGGATATGATAGAACCAAAGCACTCATCTCCTCTTGCCCTTCTGCTTTTGCAAAGCAAAACTTAAATATGTGTTGTTTGGTGGAAGGCTGTGGGCAAAACCACAATGGAACTATTGCCAACTCAGCCTAACTCTGTTTATCCTGTGAAGGGCGATGAGATCATAGTGTGGCTTGTGTTCACTAACAGCTGTTCAGCATTAGGGTTTAGTTAGAAATTCTACAGTCTGGGTACTTGTATGAGGACATGAGTTCCTATAAAAGGGTCCCATGGGTCAGTAAGTCTACATGAACTGGGAGATGCAACTTTGCAAATAAAGCCTCTTTTATTCAGAGGCTTAAAAGGAGAGCTAAAATATTTACATTTGACAAATTAACTCAAGATAATCTAAAACAATAATGATGTTTAAAAAAGGAAGTACGGAATACCTACATTCCTGAAATAATATTAGAAGAGTACTGTTTTGTAAAAGGTATTCTTTTTAAAGGAATGATGTGCAAACAGTTGCTTATTATTTTATCAGTTCACAATTAAGTACAGTGACAAAAAACAGCTTAAAAAAAAGGTATATTTTGACCACTGTGTTCTGCTTTCTTCATCTAAGTTTTGAGGAGACAAAATAACTGAGGTGAGGCTTTCTATTTTCACCAGTTATTTAACTGAGCCAGTGCTGACTTTCTCATGTTTACCTTTGGTGGATCAGAAGTTCTAGTGCTGAAGCAGGCAGCATGTGAGGGACAAAAATTCCCCCCGCCATGGCTTGTTAAAATGCCACTGGCACTTTGTGTTTCTCTCTGTCACTCTTCCTGATACGACCAGGCAGGGTAAGGCTGACCCTAATGCTGGAAGGCAGACTCAGCACAGTAACACATTCCCAATATTTCATCAACTACTTCATCATCTTACAAAAGAAGGCTACTTCCCCTCAAAAGCAACTTTGATGTTTTATCTTCGACAAGGCACGTACTTGGCCTGAGATCCCGCCATGCTGAGGTCTGAAGGGTGTCTTGCATTACAGGACCCAGGCATCATGGGCTGAATAGGCTGGCTAAGCAACAATCTGGCACATGAAGGAAAAAAAGAAAAAGACGTTGCTGGAAGAGAAGGACCATACAAATCCCACACTGTGCAGAGAAGCGGCATTTCCACAGGCACGGCACCAGGCTGAGTGTGAGGAGGTCTGCCAGCTGCTGTGCCAGGCGCATCCTGGGCACTGCCAGGCCGAGGCTGGCGCAGCGCCCGCCCTCTGGGATGATCTGAGTGCCGGACGTACGCCTCATAAATCACATTTTCCACCATTATTATCTGTTAAGTATATGGATGCTTGAATAATATTTTACAACTCTGGTTAAATTCACCTCGCGCTTTTCAAAGCCAGCAGCAAGGTTTCCGTTCTCAAACGTGACGGGGTAACGGAGAGCCACGCTTTGGGACTCGGCGCACTGCGCGGTCCCGAGAGCTGCTGCGCGCCGCGCCCGCGCTGCCGGGCGGAGCCGCAGCTCCGGCCCCGCCGTACCTGAGCTGCTGGTCGTGGCTGCAGCCCGCGGGCGCGGCGCTGCCGCCGCGGGCCGGGCCGCCGGGGGGCGCCGCGGGGCCGCTGCGTTCCGCGGCGAAGGGCGCGGCGCGGGGCGGGGCGCGGCCGCCGCCCGGCGCCAGCTCCGCGCTCCGCGCCGCCTTCGGGCCCTGCAAGAGAAGCGGAGAGAGCGGAGACAGCCCGGCTGCTGCCACCGCAGGCGGAACGGCGTCATACCCGCCGCTGCCCGGCCAGCTCCTGCCGGCTGGCAAGCCCAAACCCCCCCCAGTTAAGGCAGGAGCGAAGTTAAGCGTGAGGAGCTGCCGCCAAGCCCCATGATAGGAAGAGATCAAAATAAAAAAGTGTGGGGTTTTCTGGTTTTCTTCTGTTCCCCCCCCGCCCCGTTTCACAGAATCACCGAACGGGGCAGGTAAGGGACCACAGTGGGACATCCGGTCAGGCCTCCCTCCTCTAGCAGGGTCATCATGACACAGAATCGTGTCCAGACGGTTTTTGGGAATCTCCAGTGAGGGAGACTCCACACCCTCTCGGGACAACCTTTTCTAGTGCATGGTCACTCGCACAGTGACAGAGAAGTTCTTCCTCATGGAACTTTCTGTGCATCAGTTTCTGCCCCTTGCACTGTATTTGTTACACACTTAATAGAGTCATTACAACACAGGTATGAAGGAAGTGAAATGCTACAGCTGGGGGCTCTGAAGACAATAATGGAAATATGCTTGCCACGCAATCAGGAAGCAGAAACAGGAGCTGTTTTCTGTGAAGGGAGGTACAACAGGTGGATGGAAGAGCAAACACTGGAAATGTTGAGAGACCAGCAGTATGAAAAAAAAAATACAGCACCAAACCTAATAGCTCTCACAGATCTCAGTTACTGCTCAGGCTGAACTTTATTTTGCTCTGCAGGAACCTGTTAACGTTCACAGCCTGAGGGTCTCAAATGAATCAGTGTATTCTGTGTGCCACCAGAGCAGACAGGCTTTGTTGCTTTGGTAGTGTCCGACTGGGCTTGGGGAGCAAGTATTCTAAGGGGTCTCACTATTTCAAGTTTCCATTGTGATCAGTCAGGTTTCTTTCAGGACCACCTGAAGACCAGTAAGTCCCTGACACATTTTGCATGCCCCCCTGCACCAATGTCAAGCTGAAACAGCTGCTCAAGTAACAGTCCTGGCTGAGGTCTTAAAAAAAAGGTAAGGTAAATGCTGTAGGGAAACCCTTTTAATAGGCTGTCGGTATACAGAAGAATAAGAAAGGGAAGGCTAAGGCACAGTTACAGGACTGACATGATTTTACTCGCTTGCTTAATAACAGCTCAGTGTCTCCTTTCCATCTAAATGCTTCTCTGTTCAAAGAAATGATTACCTGGCTTGATATCACACTTGCTTCTCTCAGTGACTGCTGGTTCGTTGTTTGTGAAGATGTAATTTGTCCTTGAAGTTGAGAACTGGGGACAAGCTGCTGCTGAGAAAGAGTCCCTGACCTCTGCTGTAGCTGTTGTGGGTCCAGCTGCTGAGTATTGCTAAAGCTCAGGGACACTGTTGGCTGCTGTAAGATCATCTGGAAAATAATAGGGGAGGATTTATTTACGTAGCCCAGATGTTTTGAAAAAAGAATGTGACAAAAGGAAATTCAAAGATATATTCTAAAATAAAGTTACCACATTTCTGGATTCATAACACATTTACTGTTACTTGGAAATCACCTATCATTCCTACATTAACAGCTCTACTGTCTCTAGTTTCTTGGGTTTCTTATTCGGCAAGTGCACCCATTACTTGTGAAATGTGTCTAGAAGATGCAAGTCCTCTCTTCATGGCGCAGGCACAGCCCTCTTAAGAGCAGTTCCCAGTACATTCACTGTGTTCTAGGGCATCCTGACCAAATAGAAGAGAGTAACTCCATGTCTTTTCAGTCATTTTGTTTCTCCTTTCAACAAAATCCACCTGCCTTTCAGACAGAACTGTCTTTGAATTTGTTTCTAGAAATTCTACACTTTACACCCAGCTGAGTTGTCAAATATTTTTAATGAGGCCACAATCAGGCCAGAGCTCTCCAAGCTGAATGGCTGTGTCCTTATCATTGACAGGATGTGTAAACAGACAGTTGCTGTCATTTATCTGATTTCCCATCAGGTAACTGTCACCTGGTGCTCTTCCTAACTGTGCCATGCATTTGACTTGTGCAAAAGAGCTAGCAGCTCCTCTCTTAGTGTTTCTGTAAATGATGTTCTCTCTACTTTTGCATTTCAAGATGAAGCTTTCTTCTTTAAAAGTTATAGGACTTGGGATTTTTTGCTTTTCTAGGGGCTATTTCTTTTATTACAGCTGTAAAGAGAGAAAAGTAATCTTGTAAAACCATGCATTATTAATGCCACAAGCTCTCTTTGCATATTTCAGACCTAGCCTTTCTGCCACCAAAGGCTGTATGGAGATACACATCCCACACATTTGACACAATTTTTGGACCTGATTCTGATTCCACACCACTGCTACATGTATGGAACTCCATTGATTTAAGTGGAGCTAGTTAAGTTTTAAATGAAATCAGAATTACAATTATTCCCTTCATTATTCATCCATCATCTCATGCCTAGCAGTACATGAGGTATGCCCAGTAATCAGTACACCTTTGTGCAGCTTATTGCTGTATTAACAATTCCCTAAACTATCATGTCCCCTCTAATTTTTCCTGGAAAAAGCCCATACCTTTCTCCAAAGGCCCAGCATAATGTATTGCTCTTCTCTGCAATACTATGGCTTGATCCATCATGGTTGAATGTATTTATCTAGCTTTAAAAACACAGCTTATTTAAATATGATAAATTTTTAATGCATTTCTGTGTGCCAAGATTTTACCCAGGAAAAAAGGTACAGACAATGCTTATATTAATCAGCTGTGAGAGGGGGACAATTAAGGAAAAGCAACAGCTTGTTTCAGGTGCTGTAGGCTAACCACATCTCAGAGAAGTCTGATAGGAATAAATGGGTCAAGTGACAGGGTTGGGGCTGCTACATGCAGCAGGTCTGAAACTAGCTCTGAGTGTTTTCTTTTAAAAACACTGCTCACTGAGTTTGGAGACATTACATATCAGAAAGACAGATGGTCTTGCAACTTCTGCCAAATAAATAGGTCTTACTATGAATAAATCAAAGACAAATATAATGAAAATTCATTTTCTTGTTTTTTTTTCTGTACACAGAAGCTAAGTTTTGAACATGTTTAGTATATGAACTCACTTGATTAGCCCTAGCACTGAGACGAGTTGCCACTAATATAAAATTTGATATAAAATTCAGAACAGGCAAAGTAAGTGGTGCATGTGAAAAAAGTGATGGGGAGGGAGTATGAGCCCACTGGTACTAGACAGATCACTGCAAATTAAGACCTTTAGAAGGATTAGCTTAGTGTCCTCCTTGTATGTGGTACATAGCACTGGAGAAACACTCCACTCACCCAATGCAAATTCAACATCTATTGAGGTGAGTGTCAGGTGGAGTGTTAACTTGCTACTTATTTAGTAGGGACCTCCCTATGTGCTTACCTCACTTCCAGATGAAGAAGTTTACCTCCAAAGAAAGCAGAGTAACCTACTTTGCAATTACCAGAGTGTGCCACTGGGTAGGAGCGTGCAAAGTTAATGGTTGGCAGCTAACACACCATAAATTTAGAACCAAGTTTATCCCAGTAGGCCAATTTCATTTGTTCATATGTTCATACTCTGAGAGGGCTCTGAGTGTTTCATACCTGGAGACCCTCTGCTGCCATTATACTGGCCAAAGCAGCATTGTTACCCTCTGGACATAAATGACCTGGAAGAAACAAGCTTAGAGCAGGAAGCAACGGTGACCATGTCCCTGCAGAACTGAAAACTCAAGATGCCTTAAAAAACAAGAGTTAACCTAACAGAGGATCAAAGTGTGGAATTTCCACCTGTTAGTTAAACCTAAAAGCTTAATTTGTACAAAATTTAATGGTGGTTTTTCAAATAATGTGCCTTTCTTTGTGATAGTCTTGTCTAAATTCCCCCAACACACTGAAATACAGCAGTTTTAAATAACAAGAAAAACCTTTTCATAAAAAATAAAATCTTTCCCTAAGTAGATAAATTAGCAGCCTCCTAACTGTATTGCTGCTAATGACATGTCTCGTTGGTGATTTTGTGGACTGCAAGGTCAGTGAAGCATCTTACAAACATTTTTTTAATTGGCCAGATTGTTAACATACACAGCAAAGCAGCAAGGGAGAGGAGGGGCCCTCTGACACTGCTGCCCCCTCATTCCAAGATAGAAGGGCCCTACAGCTAATGGCTGAACCACACTGACAAGGCATCCTGAGGAAAACATCTCTCTGACTCTACCTGTCCTTTGGATAATAAGGGGATTATAGCTTTTGGGCTCATCATTACAGGCCTCAAGACTTTTTCTTTATGTAAAATATATAAAGATGAGAAGCACAGCACTGGGAAGCTGAGATTCATGAATTTGAAGAGAGCCTGCTTTGCAAATGATGGGTGGCTGTGGATGGTCTTGATAGTACTTCTTGCAAGCTGGTCAGGCTCAGCCTTTCTGCCTTCCTCTGCATCTGTGAATCATTAGCTAGACTGTTCAAACTGGAGCAGACACAGCATCCTTCAGACTTCTGAGGTTACTCTTTCTGCTCTTGTCCTTCGTTGTCAGGAAAGCAGTAACAGAGATCTAATGGGGTTTTGAACACTTTTTTTCAGGGCCTGCAACCCTCCCGATAGTTTCATCTTTCTCTGCACAAGGCTCCTGCAAACAGTTTCTAATGCAGACTACTGTGCTCAACATCTGTCTGTCTGGGAAAGCATTTCTTGGTGGACTGCTGTACTCAGTTTTGAAGATCTCTGAAGGAAATGGAAATCAAGCTTAATTCTCCGTGGAGCTACCTGTAGACTTCTATGTGGAAGAGAGTGAACCAGTAGGGATGATATGCTAATAAATCAGCTAATAAGGGAAAAGCAGCTAATAAGGGAAAAAGGGGGAACCCATCCCCCTTTTCAGGCAGCCTACATCACTCCCCCACACTTACAGCTCTATTATGCAGGGTATTAAAGACACCAGAAATGTGCCTGATAGTAGCCAGTTTGTTACTATGCATTTTAGCTTTGATAGTAGACACAGATCAATGTCTGCAGACATCCAGCTCCCTGAATGATGAAATCTGTGCAGCAAAGCACGTGGCTGGATTTCTGATTTAACAGTTTACTCCTCACTGCTTGTGAGTCACAAAAGAGCTGCACGCAAAAGTGTGCAGCTTTCTTTCAAATTGCCCCTAGCCAAGTAAGATAAAAATTATTCCTCATCTCAATCTATCCCTGCAACAGCACATTAATTTCTTAGCATGTTTTTTAGTTTTTTACCTAGAGAAAGTGGGAGAAGAAAAGGTCTTGGCCAGGAGTCAGTGTGACCACTTGCATCTCATCACCTTGTTTGATTGCTCGGAGGAGAGCAAAAAGCACACAAAATACAGAGGATGTATTCTCCATTCAGCATTGCTGGATGATCCCCATCCAGCCACTGTTATTGCCACTTAAGGCAAATATGCAGCCCCCTGCATTTCCAAGCTTTTTCTGTTCCCCCACCTCTCAGTACTGCATCTGCAGTAAGCTGGGAATTGGTAGGTACTGACAAAAGAGAACTTGTAATGGTCTGAAAATACTTGGGCCAACCTGGTGTAGTCTTCATGGGAGAGGGCATCACCCAGATGGTGTAACTCAGAGCTACAAACTGGTAAATAAACCCACTGTTTATTTACCCTCTGGGCCTCTGCCTGAGCTCCCTCTGAATGTATCTGAGAATCTGTCCCACAGTCTTTGTGCTGTTAAATGCATCCTAATGCATATAGGAGACAGCTTTCTAAAAATAAAATCTGCTTCTTGCATATAAGAATGTGCTCTGAAATTCTATTTTTGCCTGAATAATGAAGAAAAAGAGGGTGTGTGATTATGGAAGACGTCACCAGGAGAGAGTAATGGTTGTCGCCCAATTAAAAAGAGAGGAAGTGAGAAGATCATGTCTCTTGATATTCATAATAACAATAATAGCTTTCAGACATATGACATGATTCTGAACTGAACACCTGTTAATTGCAGAGAGACCTTCTCTTCCCATTAATCAAAGTCAGCGCAGAACCAATAGAAGACACACACTGAAGCTAAACCTGTCTCCCTATATGATTGTATGGCACCAGGAACAGGGAGTTCTGGGTCTGGAACCCACAGCTGCTGTGTTGTCTTACAGCAGTGCACATGCAGCAAGTTAGGTGGCAAAGTTTCTAATTTGGCTTTGCTAATCCCTTAATTACCTAAACATACAATCCCAATTTGTTAATGTGTGAAACTGCATTTCACAGATGCTGATGATGGGTGAGAGTCTATTTCTGTGTGGAAGTTGCAAGCAAAATTCTCATTGACTTCAGTAGGTCCCATCCTGTTTGGAAAATACTCTTGATATCTCTTTATTTCCTTGACAAAGCTTGTCTGCTAAAATAATCCTGTTAGTATAATACTCACAAAGTCCCGAGTGCCACATTACTAGCAAGGATCATTTAACCTGGCATTTATAGTTAAATTATGAGAAACAGAGCAGTAATCACCCCACATTCAGAAAACTCCCAAAAAACTGGATGATTTGTCCATTTGTTGTTAAAGGAAACCTGTGATCTACTAAATGGCACCTGCTATTATTTCTGAGGTTTGGTAGATGTAAGGGGTACAAAGCACATACTGTACTACAGAATTCTACCTCTGTGTAGGAGGTGTCAAAGGCAGAAGCAGAGCAGGCTTAGTCAGCTTCACCCTAAAGGCTTAAGCCTGTCTGGTGAAGAACAAATTCAGATACCTCCAAGGTGTGAACAAATGAACATCAGCAGAATTTAGGGGGATTTAATGTGACAAGGAAGTCTGAACTTCAGCATTCTACTACAGCTGCTCAGTCTGAAGACGTGGTAGATAAAGTAATAAAATGCTATTGTAAATGACCCTAATTATTCTCCTCCTCCTAAGGCTGAGGTATTCCCTCCTTCTATTCTTCCAGAGAGCTCTTAAATCTTTCTTGACATAGTTTACTTAAGAAGCTTTTAGAGGGCAACATCCCTCTAAAATTCAGATGAGCTAGTTTCCACTTTTTAAATTGCCAAGCTTATCAACAGTCATGTGAGAGAGGATGCTTGACTCTGCCCCTTCCAGTAGTAATTCACCTGTACGCTGGAGTCTTGGACCAGGCAGAGCTGCTCCTGTATCTTCTGGAGCTCTTCCTGCTGCCACCGGATGTTGGCCTGCAGGATCCGTGTCCGCTGCTCTAGCTGGTCCTTGATGGTCTGGAACATGCTGAATTGTGCTGAGAACTGGGGGGGAGGACACAGAACAAGAGGGGTGGGGGAAAGTCAGTCATTATAATACAAACAGGCCTCAGTAGAACATAGTTCTCTAAGGAGTTACTGGTCTCCTGATTGTAAGGCACAGCTAAAAAATAAAAATGTATTTGTAATATAATAACATGTAGTCAGAGACAGATCTTATCTATTTTCAGGGTTATACAAATATATTAAATATTTCCTCAGCTAGAATTATCTGCTTACAATTGACCATGTTCTGTTATAAGGACTGTTTTTGGGAGTGTGCTACTTTAAAATATCAAGAGCATCTCAACTGGATGGCAAATGAGTGCATTATTTTCATTAGCTTGTACTTTGAAGCCCTTACTGTGTCATAACAGTATAATCCAGATGTGCTTTACTAATGCTTTCCTTTTTCAGAACAGAAATAGCAGTTCTGCAATGCTTTGTTCTGCTGATGACTTACTAAGGCATCACACAATAGACCACAATAAACATTTTCTAGATTTGTACAGCTGAGTAGTACTTTAATGACAAGAAATACTCATTAAGTTATTTTTATATGTGATATAAAATGAATAGCTCAACTCAGTGGAAGAAAGGCTGTTCAAAATAATAGTAAAAAATGGATATCATTAATCAAGGTCAAGAAGCAGGTGCAACCTCCAATAGCAGAAATACTGGCACAAACTGAAATAATTCAAGAGCTGTGGAGAGGACTAACAGCAATAAATCCCTTGTATTTGGTGCTTTCAGGTATGATTCAAAGTTCACCGAAGTTAATTATTACCTTAATAGGTTTTGGAATAATTGCTTTTGATAAGCTCATATTCCAAAAGTAAAAAACAGTCTTTGAAAAAAAGAACAAAACCCTTCAAAAAATCTTTTTAAGTTTTTATGTAATCAAGGCATCCAAGATCTTCTTGAAAACATGTAGGGCTGTGAGTGTACAGGCAAAAAAAAACCCAAAAAAACCAACAAAACTGCTGTGACTTGAAAATGCTGCCTTGTCCCTCTATTTGTTCCAGTGGCTCTGTGCTAGTGGGCGAGCTGATGCTCGCTGTTGGAACCTTCCTCCTCCATGGTGCCCTGGCTTGCATTGTTTCTGGCTTTTTAGTAAGAAAAAAAAAAAGATAACAAGACAGGAATTAAGGAGTCCTCTGGTGGTAGCAGCACTGTACACTTCCTCAGATGAATTTTTTGGCTACTTAGAGGAAGTTAAATGTGACAGAACAGATTTGTATCAGCTAACTACTTCACCTTAAACCAGTTAAGTATGTGAAAGTACCTTTACATTCCCTCTAGCAAAGCTGACATCTCCAGGTAGATGGCCTTTGGCAGAGCAAGAGTGAAAGCTTCAGGAGGTTCATTTCCATTTATCAGGTGTAGGGTGGCTTTCCCACACAGCCAGGAGGTCTCTGCACAGAGTGGTGGCCAGGTGGGGGTCAGTCCCACAGCCAGCCCTAGGGGCAGGGAGGGCTGCTAAGGTGGCACCTGCTGGTGTCCCCATACCTGTGCCTGCAAACAGCAGCGCCATCGTCTGCAACCCACACCTCTCCAGAGCAGGAAGATGCTGTCAAACCTCCCAAAGGTTTGTGTTACTTGGAATTGGTGTTACAGAAGAGAAGCCAGAGCAGGGTCTCCGTTCTTTCTTTTTTGTTCATGTATAAGGAATTAACCTGAGGAATGGCTGAGCAGAGACCTCAGATGTTTGGGAATAAGAACAAGTGACTCAAAGGGGAATCTAGGGCTGCTTGTTGTAGCCCAGCCTTTTGGATCTGAAGAGTCCCAGGTATCCTGATTTTAGGAGTGGAATGATGCTGTGAGCAACAGATCATAGACGAGATGCAGCTAATTCCTGCTTTAACCTGGTCTGTACAGAGGGAGCTTTTAAAAACACAATTATAAATAATTAATTAATTATCTAATTATCTAATCATCTCTAGATGAGCTCTTTTAATGAGGACTGCTTTTAAGTTTTTAAAAGGATCCTTATTAGAAAAGGAATAAAAAACAGTTTTAGTAAAGAGCTTCATTTTAACTGCCCGGCTTGGTGATGGCACATTTTGATTAACATGCAAATTCCTTGATGACCCTTTGAGAAAAGAACCTGCTTTTCTTCAATTGATCAATGTAAGGAATTTTAAACCAGGCAATTTCACAATCACTTGATACTTCAAAAAGAAACAAAATCCATTTTCAGGCCTTAGTTTTAAATTTGAATTTGCTTTGTAAAGTTGTACACAAGAATATATTGATGTTGATTTTAAATTATTATTCCATAATTTTTTGTGCAGGTTCTTATATTTACTATATTAATCTTTATTGTCTTTTTTTCTTTTTCACGTGCTTTTTGTATTAATATACTTAACATCAACAATTAGCTGGTATACCGGAGTGAAAGCTGTTATGGATGAAGACAAGGAACTTTCTCTTTTGCTTTTTTCCTCTTCCCACTCTACCCCCTAAATTGTTGATAACTCTAACTATGACCCCTGTGCTTACAGAGCTTCTATTGTTTTTGTACAATGAGACACTAACAGCAATTGACCTACTCCAGAGAGTATTTATCTCAAGATCATTAACTGGTCTACTAATTAAGGGAGAAATCTCTAATTGTATAATAAATTAAAAGAGCTTAACTCAAAACATTCCACAGAAAATACTGCCCAGCTTTAACTCTGCCATTGGCATCAAATGAAGTTTGTCTTCATCTCATTTAGGTATTTGCAAATGTCCACAGAATTCTTATATAAGTGCATGTAATACACAGGAAAGTGTCATCTTCCTAAATACAGTCAACCATGGCAGACTAAACCTGTGAGATCTCTATAGTTGCACCAGTTTAATCAAGGTTTGTTAATGCAGGCAAAAAAAAAACCCAAAAGAAACAAGCAAATCCCAGAGCAGTAATTTTAGTCTGGTTTCTTAAAAAAAAAAAAAAAAGTAAAATAAAGTGATGCATTTTGGGATCATGTCAGCAGATGTTCTGGTAGGGAGTGGCTCGATGCACAAGTGCTGGTGACAGTCCAGGGAGGCTCTACAGCCCAGAGAGAGGGACTGTCACTTCCATACTGTGATTTTTCTCCTCCACCATGCCCAAGGAGAGGTGTTTTTCTCCACTGAGTGCTACCCCAGGATGCCAGAAGGCTGCAGCCAGGGGTGGGTACCTATGGCCCCTGTGTCCGTCAGGATAGTTCCTCATTTCTAATGTGATGAAGAAAAGATGTATGTCCCAAGACATCTGTTCCTACAAGGTAATGAAAATAAGTAGCTGTAAAAAAAGAGACCCTATTTGTTTTGTAGCTCAGTTTCCTTTAAAACTTTATTTCCTGCCCTTACAACTTTCTTTCAATTCTTCTGGCCCAAGAGATGAGCCATGTTTCTTGGTGGAGACATTCAACAGAGTTGTGAGAGTGTCAAAAATAACATATTGCTGTAACTTCATGAAAGCTTTAGCTGAGCAAAGGAGAGAAGGATCCACTCATCCCTTCCTCTTGTGGGAAAGGCTGGCTCCATGCACCAGCCCTTCAAGGCACAGCCCCTGGGAAACTGGATTTTATTAGTTTTGCAGCTCACTGAACAACTTGTTCTTTCTTTCTGTCATCTGAATAACACCTGTTCAATCCCAAACGAATTATTAGTGTTAATTATTATTCAGCCATCAACATCCGCTGTGTTGCAGGGGATTTTAATTTATGACAATGAGGAAGGCAAACAAACAAATATTCTAATTGGGAGCACTTGGTTTAAAGTAAACCATTTACATTCAGGTGACATCTTGGGTGACACTGCTGTCTGTTCATTCACACAAGCAAGGCATAAGCTAAAATCGCATTTCAGAGGAGACAGAACCATCACAGCCTTCACTGGAAATAAAACTACTCAAAGTTCAGGCAGATGGTGCCCGAGGCAGCAGCTAGCTGCTCACTGCAGACACAGTTGTGGCCACTTATAATGTTTTCCCTGCTGCTACCACCCTGTAGCCAAATGTTAGCCACAACGATACCCAGGGCCTTCCAGCTCATGCCATCAGCCACCTTCAGCTAAGGACAAGTGACAGAAAGGCAGCAGGGAGAAAACTGTGCAGCTCCTCCTTGCGAGCTGGGAGTGGGGCACCTGGCCACACTATTTCTACAAGCAATGGGCTTGTGTTTTGCCACTAAACTGCTGGGAAATGGTCAGCTAGGAAGCCAAGGAAGTGTACCTGGCGGGATGCACATGTACCTGATTTTGTCCCTCACTCACCTAGTGCTGCAGGCACCTTGTCTTTTGAATAATTAATTATGTTGCTGTAGGCTGATGTTAATTATTTTAAAGTGTGTAGTATCATAATATTCATAACAGTTTATGAAAATCACGTAAGTGTGTGGAGACTTGGTACTGTCTACAGGAATTTTGCTATGGAGTGTGAACATCGGTAGCCTGAGATGCAACGTCCTGGTCCATGTCCAGCTTCATCCTGAGCTTCGCCAGGAGCACTGCTGTGACTGCTGCCAGAGAGCTGCCTGTGTAGACAGACTCAAGTCAGTCCTCTTCCTTTCACCAAGATTTAGGTGGCCCAAAGAGGCTTAATCAGTGACTGAATAGCACTCTAATTTGTCAGAAAAAAAATGGAGCTGGTGTTCCAGTAAGAGCCTTTTACTAGGAAGGGACAAGGCAGCAGGGCTCTTGGTAAACAACTGGAATGCTTCTCTTCACAAAGAGCTTTGATGGAGAAGAAAGGGAGGTAGAAAAAAGTCAGACAAAACACATGGAGACTTATAATACATAAGCTAATTGATGTTTGAAAATGCATTAATGAATAACAGAGAGAAGTATCTGTAAAAGAAAATGAATGCTCAGAGCAGATAATTGATATGCTGTTTATTCGCTGCATGCTAGCGTGGAGTCATGAAGAGAATATTAAACATGGAAGATAAATGAGAATTTGTTATTTTAAAGCCAGAATCCTCAGGACTTTATATGCTTTATGTGCTACACAAATAAACTCCAGGATGTTGTGAGTGAGTGTATGATATCAATGGTGGAAGCAGTCTAGGTTCAGCAATACTCCACCATTCCTAAAATCAGAGGATGATGCGGTGCATCATCACAGCAGGGCAACAGGAGAAAAACAATGTGCTGGAAACATGGTACTCAAATGTGCTTCTTCAAAATCCGCTGCAAATGTACCCCTGAGGCAACATTTTGGGCCATCATGAACTTTTGAGATATGGGTTTTTTTGAGATATGGGATTGGAGGAATCTGAAATTTGTCTTCAGTGGCATACTCTGCATTACTGGCACACTCACAAAATGGGTGTTATTGAATTTGCATGTCCTTTACTACTGGTTAGTTATGCATCAGCACAACCAAACAGGTGTTTTTAGCAGGACTGGATGTCTCACTTAGTTTTTGGTTTTAATTCTCATTGTGAATTTGATCTTGAAGGGACCTGGTTCCATAAAAGTGAAGTTGAAAAGTCTTTTTCTATCTGTTTTTTGTCTCCTTATGAAACAGATGTGTGCACACCTGAACATACATGCACCTGGGCTTCTGAACACCTGCATGCAGTTATATGTTTAAACATACAAGTGTACAATTCAGATTACTTTCCCACAATATTTTAAGTGTCTGGGAGTTTGGATTTGGGGATTTTAGTTACTAGAGAGGTAACTTAAAAGCCCCAAAATGAGAAAGTATCAGGAGATAAGCAAGTGATCGATTCCACTTCCAAATCCCCAACTAACCTGTGCCAGAGGTGCAGGCTGATTTTGCAGAGTTGCTTGAGGCAGCAACTGCTGTGGGAGAAGCTCACATGGAAGCTGAGAAGGCAAAGAAACCTAGGTTAAAAACAAAACAAACCAAAACTTTATTTATAAGTTTGGCTCCTTTAAATTTTAGGTTTCTTCTAATGCTGGGGCTTCCGTGTAAGTTGTTTTTAATTGCTAAGCTGCGTATGTAGCACATGCTGTTACACCCTCTGCCTATTGCCATGATTCCTTGTGAAGTTACCTGAAGAGCAGTAGGTTGGCTGAGTCTATGCACAGATAAATCCTGCTGTGTGCTCGGTGTTCTTGGCAAGGGAGTGTTAGACTCCGTAATCAGCTTTGTTGGTGTAGCTGCAAGAAAAGTACCAGTAGATTTTACCTGCTGGAAATCAACCTGCTTGAAGTGGGTAATGTGACAAGACCTGGGTAGAAATTGTAATGGTCTGGCTAAATTCTAGTGGGAGTCAGGGCTGTTCTTGTTGACTTCAATGGCAATAAAATTAAACTCTTAAGGAGGGTCTGGGCAAAGATAAAAGTAAATGAGACAGATTATGATTCTATGCTCCAATGAGCAGTGCAAAAGGACCCATGAACTGTTCTAAACCAGCTGGAACTCCCTTTTTATGGGCTGAATAACTGTAAATTTAGGTTAGCTCATTGGCTTTTCTTCCACACCAGGAAGCAGAAAGTGTATACACTTTCTTTCCAAGTCAACACTGGAGTATCCTAAATCTTAGCCAGAAGAGAGTCACCCACAGGTTGTTAATACTCATGTAAGTCTAGAGAAGTCTCATATTGCTCACACTGATGCCCTCAAATCTTAAAGACATTTTTGTAACAGATTGAAACAGCACATTTCACATCTAATCCCACTGCTCATCTTCCAGCATTTAGGTGGTTGTGCTAGAAACTTCCCTCCTGTACATTACCATTTCAGCTTTTGCACTTCTTTGTCAGTGCATATCATCAATACCTCATAATTTACCGTTAAATTACAGCTACGGTATATAAGCACACATTCTTTAGCTAAATTAAAAATAATTCCGTAACTCAGGAATGCCACTCACATGCTGGGTCTGACTTGGGCGTGTGGGAAGATTTTGGTGAGCTCCTGGATGATACTGAGGGTGTCCGACTAGCGCTGAGGACTGAGGCACCAATATCAAGTGCATTAAAGTGCTGTTCAGGATCCAAGCTGGTGCCACTTTCCTAAAACAAACCAGGAAAAGAGAACAGCTACTGCATCTGTCAGAGGTAAAGCATTTTAAAATTTAGTAATGGTTGCACACCAGTTCATTGGCAGACCTAAAATGACTTGAGCAGAACTAATCTCAGGTAGGCTAGCAGAAGACCTGGACAAAGGCATAAATGCCCCTTCCAAACAGCATCAAATGAATGCATTTTACAAACAACTATCACTAGGCTATAAATAAATAGCAAGCTACTGCCATAGTCACTTTGTGCCTTCAGATGTTTTTCTGAATCTTTCTTTTGTGTTCACTTGGATGCGACAGCAATGGCAACCTCTGTGAGACACTAGGCCATGCACTGAGGATAAGCATTGCTATCTTTCCTCCAGAGATCACTGAGACGTAGCCAAGAGGGCTGATTGACAGAACTCGTCCCAATGAATCTTTAAACTGTGGTACCTTGACACAAGGTAATGTGAGATATCTCACACTGCCACTGCCCCTGACCATGTTCCACTTCATTTGTGGCGGCTACTGATCTCCAGGTTCATCCTTCCATAAACTCAAGTGAGCAATGAAGTTGAGATAATCCACCAACATTGGAGAAAGACAATGCTGGAGTCTTCGGTGATGTTAACATAGAACAAGTTGTGATGACTACACAAATTAATGAAAAAAGCTTTTCTCCTTGTACCTTTAGTGCTGAGGACACCACCTCTGAGGACACTTCTTCCAAGCCCATCTCCTGTCTCCTCTCCACCCGAACATCTGCATAACTGAATGGAAAACATAATTCTATGTATCAACATCAAACTGCTGTATTTCTTAAAATGTGCTTTAAAAGAGTGGAGGAACAAATTACTGTACATTTTACAGGTTAAATGAAAAGCTGAAAAGTGATGTAAGTCAAATGCTACTGAATAACATTTGAGAGTGTTTTAATTTTCAGGTTTTACTCTGTTCCTATCTTCTTGAAGTCAATATTAAAGAACTATATAAAAAGGTCAAGTTTACATCCTACAATGACTTTATGACTTCACTGGAAAGCTTCTACACATCTCTTCAAAACCAACATAAGGGTTAGAGAAAGTGAATATTTAAGGGATCTGTCTATTCTCTAAATTTTGCACAAAATGGAAAAATGCCATAGTTCATCTGCCCCTAAAGTAAAAAAAAAAATAAGCTTAACATAAACTAAGGTTCAGTCTGATAATTTTTCTGTATTTTTCCTTCAGAAAGTTCAGGCTAAATTTTTTTGTTATGTAAATGATGTTATATTTTTAAAAGAAAATGCTGACAGATATGAGGATGTTCCTATCTCACTGTCCTTTATGTCCCGGCCGGCTGATAGGATTTTCCATACCTTACCACCATGTGAGTGCACACAATGAACTCTGGCTTGGAGTTCCACTGGTGGTAGGTGATGTAGTAATGGGTCTGGAGCCAGATCCACTGCTGTCCTTTGGTCAGAAACCGATAGCAGCATGACTTCCCCTTGCCGAACTGCATCACTGCCGGCAGAAAATACACACAGCTTATAGCACAATTTCCCACGTGAAAATGACATGAAATGTGAAAAAAAAAAAAGTGACTAAAATATCTGGCATAGGTAGACAGGAGTATAAGCACCAATTTTGAGTAAGTGCTCCTCTCAGCCTTCTGACAGAACAAAAATCATAATTATTAGTAGAAATCTTCTTCTGACACTTTGGATGGTAAATTCCTACACAGTACAATTAACCTTAAGTTTGGACACTAATGAATTAGTGTCCACTACAATTTAAACATAGATCTTATCCTGCTTTATGTGCTGATCACATACTGCTTAATTAGACACCTGGGATTATTTTCTAAGAGTGATCATCTTAAGTCTAGAGCAGAAAAGTACAGGATAAAAATGCTTGAAAATATGAGTATTGTGTGCAGATGGAATTAGAGTGAAGTAAGCATAGGAGATAACACTGCGCAAAGACAAAAATAATTTGAAAGAAAATTCCCAGACTGACAAGAATTCAAACTACAGTAAACCAGGGTGTACTGAAGGTTTTGAAGATCCACCAACCAAATTAATCTCTGCTTTTTCCCCCTGGTGATTTCAAGGGATTCCCAAATATCCACATATTTAGCCTTTCTATATTTCAATGTCAACAAATAAAAACTAATGTTTACAGGATACTTTCAAGACAGACAGAGGTGGTAATCTGAGATGTTACAGCCAGTTCTGTAAGCAAATATTTGAAAAGCATTGCCTTATTTTCTTTACTAAGTAAAAAAGTTTTTCAATTAAATCCTAATAGACCGTATTTAAAGTATCACAGCTAATCCTAAATACACAGTGAACAACATTAGAGAACATAATCCACAAGAATTGCTTGAACTATTCCTGCATATTCTTTACTAATAGAACAGGGGTCAAATCTGGCATATTTTATCCGTTCAGTGAGTCTCACTGGCTACTTTTGGGGATATAGAAGGGAAAATTGTATTTTTCAGAGCTCGGTAAGTCTGTCCCAGATGCCAATCAGCTGCAGTACCTGCAGTCTGCTACAGCTCTGTAAGACATACAGGCTGAGGCAAGAGTCAAACCTCCCCTTCCAAACAACTTTTCACTGAAAGAGGTGTCCCAGTGTCCAGTGACTTCCCAGGAAGCTGGGCCATGTGATACTTACAGTGTTCATGGCACCTTGCTAGCAGCTCTAGGTCATCTATGTGGTAATAGTCGTAGCCAGAAGTACCCAGCACTTCGAAAGGCAAGTATCCGATAATCGGCGGTGCTCTGCGGTTGGGCACAACACGAGTCCATAAAACACTGAGCAAGCAGTTCTGCATGTTGATGCAGAGATGCAAACAACCCAGATCTACTTCACTTATCGGTGTACTGTTGTTCACCTTAGGGGGCTGGATCCTCACTTTCCCCCACCTTGAGCCTGGGATACCCAGCTAGGAACAGCAATACCGGCAGGCACCATCCCACCAGGACAAGACTATGACAACACCCCTTCTTCAGGGAAAATGTGATTGGGGAAAGCAGTCCAGCTTCTCAGGGACCTTTACACAGGAATCTGCTGTGAGGGAGTTGTTCCTTGGCTGCTGCTTGGTCAGGGGCTCTGTGATGGCTCCTACAGCCCTTACACAGGGGAAAATGTGTGGGGAGGTGTTTGGAAGCCATCATCTGCTGGGACTGGGGGGGATAAGAGAGGAAATCATCTGTGCTGCTTTCCTCTGGGTGCCTAGAGAGCTCATCTGTGGCATGCTGAGGCACTTGCTTTGTACCTTTGCCAGCACAGATGCCTCAGGCCAGCATAGACTTTCCCTCCATAACTCAGTGGGAATTGCACATACGGCAATCAATGACTGGATTTGGAAGGAAGGATTTCTGCAGCTGTGTAATAATTAGCTCATTTTGCCATGTGACAGACTTTGGTCTGCTGATAATTTTAAAGGAAGGAAGAACAGGCTAATCACAAATTCAGCTGAAGAAACAGATTCCTTTTGTTTTAAAAAACCCATTAAAAATAAAAGCAAAAGTAAATGTAAAATAGTAAACATCAGCTTTTGTAGGAATTTCGTTGGCAGCCCTCCTGTTCATGAGATTCAGATGTGAAATGGAATACTACTTGAGAGAACTGTACTTGTGAAATAGTAGTAGAAAAGCACAAAACACAACCAGCAGTGCATTTCATGTCACCAACCTGTGATCCAGGAATAAAAATTTCCACTCCAGACTGTGTCTTGATGTGAATTCCTCTAGAGGTTCTTCTACGATGCACATTTCCTGTCCGGTGGAGAAAACTGACTTACTGAGAGTTGGAGCTTCACCCTCTGATTCACCTAGCTTTTGTTAGCTAAAAGTACATGGTGCATAACAGGAGAAAACAGAGGATCCACCCATTTTCTGGCCATTCCAGAGAGCAATATATTGTATTTATCAATGCCAACATTTTTTATAGGAGATAGGGAGAAGAACTTGTAATGCACACGTACTTAAGAGCTGAGACTGTGCCTCAGGGTGCCAAAATTCTTTGGCTTTGAAGCAGTGCCTGGGGTGTGATGGCCGTGGGCTTTCCCAGCATCCAGCCTGTGCCTGATCCCACCAGGGCTTGCCGCATCTTGCTTCACTCCTTCTGTGTTACTAAAGATACCCACCACCCTTGGTCCTTTTGGATGTCTGCCCACCAAGCTCTCTGAGAAAGGGGGACGCTCTCCTTTTTCCTCAGTAGCTGCAGTAAATGCCTTTTCAGGCAGCCAGCCTGCATGGGACCTGTCCAGTGGGTAAAAGGGGTCAGTGTTGCCTTGCACTGCATTGCCACAGCAAACAAGCTGGCCCTTAAGGTTCACAGCAGCCCCTCAGTGCTCACAAGCATGATGATTAATAAGTGAGTTATGGGAGGCAGGGCACAGGGCTGACTGTGATGCAGGACAGCCTTGCCCCAGAGAGAAGAGCATCAGGAGGCAGTCAGTGGTGGTCACTTGCTGGGTGGACGTGGGATGTAGAGGGAAGGATGGCAGCACAGACCACACCTGTGCATGGGCTGGGGCTGGTTGGACGCCCCTTGGCCACCTTGCTGTCCACTCCAAGCTCTCCTCTGCCAACCTCTCCTCTCCCACTGGATGCTTTGCAGGGGCAGTTGCAGCTCCACAAGCTGCCTAGAGGCTCCTGGCCTGGGACTTCCCAGCATCAGCATTCTGGATTTGTGGCTGGGTTCCTGTGTCCTTCACGTCTCTCCTGCAGGAGGATCTCCATCCTCACTGGTAAAGGCAGCCTGCCCACTGGCCCCCAGTGCTTCTATTCCCCTGCTCCCTGATGCCACATCCCTCTGTGCTGTGAGCTCAGTGACACCTTCTTGTCATTTCCATTACTGCTCTCTCTCTGCTGTCCCTCAGGCAGAGGAGACCACTGATGTTTTAAACCCTGTTGGGACCAGAGAACAAGCTGAGGTGTGCTACCATCAAGCAATTCTTTGATACATATCAATGCTGACAAAGTTGTTTGAAATCACTAGCTGTGCAGAGGCAAAACACCTTAAATTCATAAACCCCATAAATTCCTGCCTCCCCCTCTCTCCAGTTTAGGCCAAAATACATGCTGATGCCAAGATCATGCACTAAAGCTCAAGGTGCAAACACTGCTGTGTGCAACCAAACTGCTGATTCTGTCTACCTTAGTTGGTCAGATAAAATTTTACATTTATTTTATAGTAGAAAGTCAAGAGTGGGAGTTAGGTTAGGCACCCAGGTGAACTGAAAAGATGTGTGTTCAGGACTTTGTAGCAGTTAAAAACTTTCTCAGGGCTGTTCAGCAGCTGCTTCCTCCCTAGCACTGGGCAGCTCATTGCCATGAGTAGCCAATTTTGTTTCCCTGTTTATTTTGAGGTGCTAGCTACCCAAAGACAAGGAATTTGCCTTTAGGGTTCACAGAGAACCATTAACTCCAGCCCTTCTGCTAATATTATTATTGTCGTTAAGATTCATGGGAAATGTCCTCACTTACCCGGAAGGGACTCGACTTGCCTGCAGGGTCAGGAATCAGTCTAGAATGCCCTGCAAGTTCCAGAGCAATAATGGAACCAGGCAAAGGGAACAGTGATTTCATATTGGTCACATCTCAATTACATAAAAAAAAACCCTCTTAAACTCTGGGCACAGGACACCTGATGCAGTAGTTCACATTTGTTAATCAGGGAACAGAAGTGTTAGGCTTAAGTTTGGTTTGTCTATCCTTAAAACCACAAGCAGCTATTTTACTTCCAGAATTTGTGAGAAGGGAAACAAGCAGTAGTCCACCAAAGATGCTGAGGAGCACAAATGAAAGTGTTGGTGGTCATCTGTATCACAAAATCACAGAATCACAGAATTAGCTAGGCTGCAAAAGACCCTTGAGACCTTTGTACATTGTCCCATCACAGGAACAGGAAGCAGCAACGAGGAACCAAATTTCAAAGTGACTTTGCAATTCCTATTGCAAGGAGGGTTTCTGTATCCTGTGCAACGAGGGCAGAAGTGACACTGCTGCCACAGATCCTGGCTTGCACTGATAATCCTCTACAGTGGATTTTTATGCATGAAATGTGATACCTGTAATCCATTCAATTAGCAAAACTAAGAACCTTCTGTGTTACCCCATCTGAAAGTGTTTAGTGAAGCTCTGAAATGCACAGGACTCAGGGTAAGCACTTACCTTTAAAAACTGAGGTGTTGCCAAACGAACAGTTGCAACAAAGCAGATCTGCTTTCCTGGGGATGTTCTGTAAGCCCTTGGGACAGCCTCATCAAAGCCGTTGCAAGAGGAGTTAGGCACTAGTTAGGGGAAAAAATGGGACCTGGAGTCATGTGTTATATAAGATTTGCTCTCCCTGAATATTTTGCACACTCCAAGTGTACTAATACTGTTTTTATTCAGAGAAGTGCTCTAAAAGCTTTTAAAGCTGATATGCATATATTTAAATCCAAGTCAGTCATGTTAGGCAGAAAGGCATCAGAGCTTAACTTCAAATATGAATTTTACAGGTTAATCCTCATAAAAGTAAGGCCAAACCTTATTACAGAGCATAAACCAGTTTTCTGGAAAGAAACCCCACGCATCCAATTGCTCTTTTTCACCACTCACAGGAAAAAAAAATACATGTTGCAGCATGCCTAGCACTGTAACTTCCATGATGCAGTGAAAAAAAGTGTTGGCAAAGGAGGTAGCTGAAGAGAGTTCGTCAAGTCATCAGTGGCAAAACACTGGGGCCCACAGCCAGCGAGGCTTCATCAAACTAGCAGGAGGATGCTTGTGATTCTTGGCTGCTGAAGAATGCCTTCCCCTTCTGCATCGAAAGAACTGTCCTCAGTATGCTCAAGCTCTCTTTGTTTGAAAGGAGAAGAAAAGGGACGCCATGTATGGCACTGGCCTCCAGAGATGGGCACATCAGGTGAGTCTGCAGAGGACCTGCTGTAACTTCCAACACTGAGCAGAGAAAAAACTGGATGTGATGTGGCTACACATTTTGTATATGCTTTTAACCTGTGTCTTTCATGATTGCATGGCTTCAGCTGCTTTGAGAACCCACTAGCACCTCCTGCCACAGAGATGCAAAGGATATGCTGTTGAAAACTAGCCCGCAGTCCCATGTTAGAACGACATAATGCAAATTATTCCTCCAAGTTCAAGCTGTTTAGAGATGGCAATCCCACTCCCACAGCTATGAAAAAACTGTGTGCCAGGCTGCAGTGGGAACTGGGCTGGATTCTTGCTCTGCCTCGCCAACTTTTTCCCATAGGGGTAGAGAGGTTCCTATCTAGCAGCCAGAGTTCACCAATATGAGGTAATTTAATGCCGATAGGGATTAAAACTAATATGAAACTCTCTTTCCTTACTATTAGGCCCCTATATCCACCTTCATGAAGTTTCAGACAGTTTGGCTCTTCTGCTCAGGGCAAAGCATTACTGTGAAATTGAAGAGCTTTGTATCTATATGGGGAGAAGATAACTAGCCATTTTTATCCTGGGGTGCTTCTGCACTGGGATTTCATCCACTGCCACAAATTGCAGAGATGGAAGAAGTCTCAAGTGATCACATGTGCTTTTGGAACCCAATTCAACCTATTAAAAGCCTTAGAATATTGATGCATTACTATTAACAAGGGTATGAGACAGAAAAGAAAGTATGCTGAGTGGAATTCACACCTGTGATTAAGTGGTTTAGGCCATTGCGTGCACAATATATATTACACCAAAAAGGAAAAGAGAAGTTCTTTATCTGAGAAGACAGCACAGATGTGAACATCCACAGAGATCAAGTCCTCTCTCATAGCTGAGTCTGGAGAGCATGGCTGACTGGATATAGAGAGAAAAAATATGGGAAAAAATCTCCTCCTTTCACCAGCAGAGCACATGTGCTCTTGGGACTCCCTAGGAATACGTGTTCCGTTCTGATCCCGGAGTTATGTGTATATATGTGGGCTTCTATGTGATTATTAACACAAAAAGCTGAGAAAAACAAAAGTTAAGTTCTACAGGACACACAAGTAGCCTAAGTAAAGTTATTTATTGATCCATCTCTGATACTAGCACTTAGTGCAAGTCTGTTGATTTCTGTAGTTGGTCCCACTTAAAAATGAATGGGAATGCTATAAACCTGCATTATGGGCATTATGAAAAGTTACTTCTGAGCTTGCTATGTAGTATGTTGTGACATCTGGAATCAGTGGGGCTGTTTCTCTCTGTAATAGCCAAGTTCAATAGCAAATTCTTCCAGTATGGGCTCTAAGATATGAAAACAAGATATGCACATTCAGCCTCCAAAATACAGGTATGATAAGTTAACCTAGTTAGCGAACCATGGGCTTGCAAATGACACCAGTTGTAGAAGTAAGTGGAGACTGAGTCACACCAAGGAGACCAGATGGCTTTTTTATGTCAGCTGTTGGATGTAAACAGACACGAGCCTGAGACATATTCCCAGAAGGCAGCAGAATACATCCCTGAATGTGGCATTAACAAAATAGGATTATATTTCCAACAGGTAAATGCAGTAGTAAGAGGGTAATAATTACTGTGTAGGATAGCTAGGCAGTAATTTGGGATTTCCTCACAACATTTGGAAATGATGAACTTAAGCAGCAGTGAATGAAAAAGCCCAAAGAGATGAGACACAGCTGGCCTGGCTGGATGGTATCCTGTCTTTGAACAGCTACTGTGCCATCTCATACTCAGCTGCCTTTGACAAAGTCCAGAGCATTAAAATCCTCAATGATGCAGGCAGGTAGACACTACATTGTCAAGTACATCTCCATCTGAAAATGACAACTACAATAACTGAAAGGAAAAAACCACTCACATTTGCTTCTGAATTATTTTGCTGCCTGACTTAGGTTGTTGGTATCTTTTCTTTCCACAGCTCTATCTGCACAGCCTGCTTTGCTTTTGCAGCTGGTCAGTGAATTTCAGCCTTTTTTGGATGATGAATTTTGAAGTGTAGTTAAAAAAAGAGGTCATTAGAGTAATTTTAAAAAAAATACAATCCTGGTATAACCTTTTAAAAAGGCCTTCTGAAAAATCATACTTTATGACTCTCCAAGTCTCTTTAAAAGAAACAAAACATCTTGATGTAGCAAAGTTCAGCAGTGAGCTTTCTGAGAGCACCACAGAAAAATAGTGGAACAGAAAATATAGGATCAAGCATGAGGCTATGGTGATATTAACATTTATACGTCAAATATAGGGCTTGGAGTGCTTTTGTCAGAAGATGCCTAATGAAAATGTTAGGCTGGCCATAAACGGTGGGCTTGGGTAAATGAGGGACTGTGTGTTTCACAATGACATGATTGGGACAAAATATTTTGAGTAAGGAATCTGAAGGTCATGTGACAAAGCTAAATACATAATCAGAAAGGTGAAACAGTTGTCTCATATCTATCAGCTAGCTGATGCTCCTTAGCATGAATTTTAATAGTTTTTGTGGTTACCTATCACGCCTGTTTCCCCTAGACTACCACAAAATTCTTTTGTAGAAGTACTAAATACCTGCAAGTATCCTGTAAGACACAAAGAAACTGATTTACCTATTCAGAGATCTTTGTTTGATTTTTCTTTTGTTTATTTTATTTTATTATTATTTTTTGAAGACCAGGACACTTGTAACAGAATGTTACAAATAAATAATATATGCAAGGAACTAAGCCCTTCACTATCACAGACAACAGGATTTTTATCCTTAGGGAGAGAAATCATGCCATATGAAATGAATGAAAACATGTTTTAAAAACCCCAGATGCCACTTTATTCAGTTAATAATAGTAAAGCAGTCAAGTCACTCGGTCATCTTACTTCAACTTGGAATGTGTAAAACATAATCTTCCTAAGATAGCAAAACTCCTGCTTATGCCATTTGAAAGAAGAAATCCCTCCTTCCTACTTTGTCAGGAGATGTTTATGTTTAAAGAACCAGTCTTAGTGACTGTCAAACAAACTGAACAGTGATTTCAAAAAATACAAGTCAAATAAATACAGACCAGAATAAAATAATTTTTTTTCATATAAACTAATTCAGGCCTCATATGAACAGACTATTTTGCAATTGGTAGATATAATGAAGAAATCTAAAGTGCTGGTGGCAAGCCAGACTGCTCTCAGTAGCCATGTAGATGAGTAACAGTGACACTGTCCATACATCACCTGTCCACTTGGATCTACTCTCTCCTCTTTCCTCCTCCTGTTTCTCCCCTGGCCATCCTGTGCTGATATGAATCCCAAGTAGATTCCTTAGGACAGGAATGGTGTCTCTTCTTTGCATAGAGAGCCCAACATGAATGCTGCATATTGTTAATAGCAAATAACAATATGCAGCTGTTGGTTCTGATCAAAACATCCGTTTTGGATTGAGTTATTCTTGTTTCAGATGTTTCAGCATATATTTATGGAGGCTCAAGATCAATGTACCTTCTGTTCAACTGTTTACTTCTTTTAAAAATTAATTCAGATGCAATTAATTTTTCTGAATGTTAAGACTTTTTTCCTCCTCAACATAGTAATTTTCTTGATGTTTATTATTATATCTGAGAGATGTATCAGCTAACAGTAGCATATCTGCTATTATTAGTATCCAGTAACCAGTTCCATGAGTTTCTATGTAATTGGGAACAAAAATGCACATTTTTAAATTCTACTATAATATTACATTACTCGATTAGGAACTCTTTTCACATAATGCTTATCTACTTCTTCAAGAGAAAAGCTTCAGGGATTTTGGATGAAAGGACAGATCTATCGCTTAAAAGATGCTGGTGGTCCTTTTTAATATTGATTAACTCTTTGAAAGGGAGGACCCTGGTTTTGTCCCTTTCAGGAGTTTTTGGGAGGACCCTGGTTTTGTCCCTTTCAGGACTTTGTAAGCAAGTGTGTCACTTCAGAAAGAGGATACCAGAGCCAATATGTGGTTATATAATTATGACAGATCTTTGTGTGTTTACAAATGTAGAATCAGTTTTCACAGAAGGAATAAATCCAACCCATCTTATAATTTCTTATCTGAGTGAGCTATTAAGCGGCTTTGTAAAATAGTGTATTCTTACTCAATTTGACATTTTATACTGGAGCTGAGCACTTCCTTGGATTTTTGAGGAGGGTTACCCCTATTACTTGCCTTCCCCCTCGGCCCTCAGGCAAGACTGGGTGTGAGCCACTGTATTATTCATTGGTGATGCTGATATGACTCTCCTATCAGATATTACTGGCTAATAGGTACAGTGATGCACTTGCTTCCCTCAGATGTTTGCAGACATTCATGTCTCTCGTTAAAATCTGGGCTGCAGACCCAGAACCTGAAATACATAAAAATATTGAACAGACGTCCTATTAACAAATAAAACAAAAACAACCCTGATCATCTGACAGCAAGTAGGCATTTCTCACAGAAGCAAAGAGGAATTCCACCTTCCCTGTCTGAGTGGCCCATGGGCCACCTCCTTTCCTCTCACGGGACAACTGCATCTTCACATCAGGTTACAGTCGTGCTTTTCTCATTGAAGCTTAATTAATGATGATTATATAATCCTCCCAAATGGAAAATCAAATCTCTTGTATTTGATTTAGCACAGCCAGTGACTCATGCAGGCGCTCTGCACAGCTTGCATTGCTGTCTCGCTGGTCAGCTGCTCTCGCTTGGGCACAGCCAATGCAATGGGGATTCACTTATGTGCAGGCAGCTCATGTCATCCCTGGTGCAGATACAGCTGCAGAAATGTTCTGCAGTAGGGCTTGCAGAGTACAGATTCCTCAGGACCAGTCAAAGTGTGCACACTCTTGCTAACCCTGGCACTGGGCTGTGCAGCTTCTCTAGCCTGCAGCTGTAGCTGACCCTAGGAGCTCCAGAGACAGTGATCTCCTGAAAGACTGAATACCTGCTGCGAACTGTGAGAGCTTTCCTGGGCAATTTCTGGGCCCTGTACATGCATGCCCCTGCCTCTCCCGGGATCAGCAAAGATGCCAGTGACTGCTCCTCTGTGTGAGTAGCATGGGTTCGATGTAGATTGTGTGTGATCTGACTCCCTGACAGCAATTCTGGTGAGAAGTCATCTTGGCACGTATCAGGTATTTGTCCTACTTCAGCATGAAAAAAATTATCTTTGGCATCTTAGTATAACAGCCTTTAAAGCCTCAGAGCTCCCACAAAGTTAGGGAGAGCAGCTAAGCCCCTAACTGGCTTTCTAAGCTGAAATCCTTCAAACTAATCCATTCAAATCTATCCTTATATGATGTTCTCAGCCAGAAGTCAACAATGTGATTAACGGAGAAGGTATGAGGGAAGAGGAAGGGGGGCAAGGTGACTGGGAACTCACATGTATGACCTCCTTGCCCCAAGCACCAACATGGTATGAGCAATGAACAATAATAAAATAAGCCTAAAGAGATGATAATTCAAAGGAGGTTACATAAAAGGCTATGTGGAAGTAGAATAAAGCTAGTGGCATTTCTGATTAAGAGGGTGAACTAGGACCTACCAGTTCTTAAAAATATCAGCAAAAGTTAAATGTCAAGGAATGAAGACAGATTTACACCTGCTACGACTCTACATTAATGACAATAGAATAGCTAAGTATCCTGAAAGGATATAATCTGCCCAGGGATAAAAGAACTTCCCTGGTCATAGAGGCTCTGGCATCCTTGTGGCAGGAGCACAAAGGCAGAGTGGGCTCCGAGTACGCTCAGCAAGTAATTGGAAACAAAGGTAGGAGTCTGCATTGGATTAATAAAAAGGAATGCAGGATTTGTATTTAAAGAACATCCTGTATCAGTCTCCCATGTGTAAAAACATGCTCACACTTTCACTGCTGTGAAAAGCTACAGGGAAAAACATTCTTCAATACATTCATAAGGAATGTCTCCTGCTAATTAAGCCTAATTTGCAATTTCTGTCTTTCTCCCCCAGCTAACTCTTATCTTTAGTTTATAATCTTTCTTCACAAACACCTTCAAAAAGCAGGCTTTGGGGCCAGCTGATATGCATAGGACAAATGCTGCCCTGAGTGCTATGTCTCTTCCACCACCCTTCCCACCCCTTTCTTCCTTGCTCACTTGGCCTCACACCTGGAGGACAGATGACTGGAGAATGGGTATTTATTTAACAGGAGGAAAAGAGGGCAATTACTGCCAGGTCCAACAGGTGACAGCCCTGAGGAGCATGGGCTGGGGGATTGTCCCTGGTAACTGTGGGCCAAGAAGAGGCAGGAACAACACTGCACTCACCTAATGCTTGAAGCTGTTTGTGCCACAAGTCCCTGTGCCAAAGCACAGGTGCTTGCCCCCAGCCCTTGGGTGGCTTCCCCAAAGAGGGGAGCATTCATAAGGTGCTCACTTGAGCTGATTCTCCTGTGCCTTGGTCAGGGTGCATCTGGCTGGTGCAAGGACCCCAGTGGATCCAAGGACAGCCGCTTTGGAGGTCTGCACCCTCCTCTGGCTGCTCACCCTGTAAGCCAAGGGTATCAGCTTGGTACCAAGCAAACAGTTTGCTGCTGCTACATATGAGTCCAGTGTGCTTGCTTCCACTTTTGCTGGGAGGCAGCCATGGGGGTGACTCCCAGCCAAAGGGGAGCAGTGTTGGACATGCACTGGTGAAGCATTTCCATCAGGCTCTTCACTGAACTGGCAAAAATGAAGTCAGATGGCAAGGGGGCCAGGAAGCACCATCTCACAGAACCAGGCTAAGGCTGCCCCTCCCTGTCAACCAGAGGGTCACACTGCAGCAGAGATGGGAAGAGAGTGAAGAGACAAAATAAAATGAAGAGTTAGAAAAAAGTGGCACAAAGGGGGAAAAAATGTGAAGAAGAAAGCACATGACTTGTTTGAAAGCTATTAAGATGGAGTCTTTGGAAAATGATTTGGTGTCTTCTGAAATCAATACGTTCCCATTTAATCTCTATGCATTAAGCTAGGAAGATATCTGCAATGTAAGTTTTTTTCATTCTTCTGAGAAATAGCCACTGATAAAATTGCTGGGATGTGAAATCTTAACCGGTAAGGGGGCAGTATTAATGTCACGCCAAAATAAAGGGCTGAAAATCCTTGAAGAAAATGGATCAGAAATTCCCCTGGTAGAAATGTATCCTTATGAGTCAGCACCTGAAATCCGGTTTCTGCTCTAGAAAACAGAACAGCTTGGTGTGCACGTCTGTCAGGCAGGCGCATTTCACTTCATTCAAACTAGAAAGCATACAGGCAGCTACATTTTTTCATACAAATAAAGCCTCAAATCAGATGGCACCAAACAAGAAATACATATCTCCATCCTGCACGTAGGTTTCTATTCTAGTCATGTGGAGCAAAAGCAGAAAGTTAAATGGGGACAGGGACATTTTTTTTCACAGCGTGGCGTGCAGTTTTTGGAAAGCACGGTGGGGAATTTTTTTGCAGAGGATGACCTATTTGGAACAATACCAGCAACTTTGGAAATGCCACTCTGGAGTTCAGTCAGGCAAGTAACTAAAGCAAAGTTGGGCAGGCAGGAGAAGGAAAGGAATAAAAGAGTTATTTCATTTCTGACACTAATGGTTGTGCAGCAATCTGTTTGTTAGAGAACGGGTGAGGTGGAAATCTGCTCTTCATCCATTGAAAGATGGTTTCCCTGGACTGACTGTGGTGCATTAGTGACTATGCTGACTGCATGTCTTCCCTTTTTTTTCTGAGAGTATTGGGTTCTGTAGTGCTGGAGAGGAATGCAAAATGGCAGCTGGAGAGGGAGGTGGGTGGCAGTGTCCTCAGCCATTCTGATGAAACGCGGCAGTGCTGCCTTTCCCCAGGATTTTGCAGAGAAGGGTAAGAAGACAGATTTGGCAGGTTATCAGTTCTGGCATGGAATTTGTATTTAATGTAAACCAGCAGATAAAGTAGCAAGATTATAATTTTGCTAATAGGTGGGGTCTTAGCACACAGTATTAATGAGCACAAATAAACCCTCGTCTAAACCTGTCATTATTTGCAAACTTACCCAGAGTCCAGGATCACTGCAAGTGAAGGGCAGTAACAAAAGCAACTAACACAATTTCACTCATCACATGTACTCATCCAGCTATTGCAACTCAGCCATGAGAGCCGTGTGAAGCAAAATGTATCCCGTAATGTTAAAAATAGTTCTGTCAGTTAAAAGCCTGTCTTGTTCAATGGAGCAATACTTATATTTTATTTTACACAGCTAAATTAACATTTATACAACAATTAAAGCTTACCATTGCTGTAAGACCGAAAATTTCCTACAAATTTTATGTATTCATATGTTGGAAATTCCTTTGGGTTCAAACTTCCTCTCAGAAGATGACAATAAAACTCTAGTTCATTGTCAGCTGGATTGTTAAAAGAAGAAGAAGAAGAAATAAATATACTATTTAAGCTAAACACAACCAATGGTGTCTTCCAACCCCAATCTTGCAACTGGCAGCACAAGAGCAGCTTATTACCACTCAGGAGTCCTAAACACCAGTGTGCTAGACATTGCAGGACCAGAGCCTCTACAAGAAAGCCTTGCAGGGATGCAGCTTGCTCAGCACTGTGCACAGGTGTGCCTGCAGCTCAGGGACAGCTTCAGAGACTTGTCCTTCTCTGACACCACCTCATCACAGGAGCTACACAGCCTTAGCCTTAGTGCAGCAACAGAGAGAACTGGGTTCTTCACTTACTGCTTTTTTCTATTTAGGCTCCTCACAACTCAACAGCTCTTGTTGGAAAACTATGCTTAATTACCTCAAAACATCTATTAAATTAACTTTGGCATATTAGCTATCAGCTGCAGGTTTTGTATGATGCAGTAGATTGAGCAGATGTACATCTTACATTATTGTGTCTATTTTGGTTTTCTGCATCTTACCTCCTAGAGTGAGTAAGGCTGAGGAAGTAAAAATATTTACAAGGAAATCAAAATTCAATTGGAAAAAGAATTACAATAGTTTTAGAGGTATTTTTTGTCTGTAAGGCTAATCAAAGGTACGCCACATTATCTTATCTCTTACTTGAGATAAGTAAGAACATTGAGAAAAACATCTTACTTGAACAGGCTGAAATATCAATTAAGATGCGATTTGTCTCAGGCGAACTCTCAATTTCCATCAGCTAACCTATTTTCCTTAGCTGTCTCAAATGATATGATATTTAATAATTAACATAACTGCAAGTAGTCTTAGCCTAGTAAAATAAAGGCAAAGAGTTTCATTTAAAAATAGAACCAAAGGGTCATTCCAGGTGGCAAGATCTTTTTGAAAGGCTATGAACCTAATGTTTTTATTGCAGATAATATAAAAAACTCTTTCTGGGAGAAAATTTTTTATCCTGCCTGTGCTTTTTCATTTACTAGATAAGATAAAATGAAACTTACTCTTTAGGTAATCTGATGAGGCAGAATCTGTCATAAGCATACAAGAAGATAACATCTTATAAATTTCTGAGTGTTCTTGTTCTGGGAGGAAGTTTAACAAATTCTGATCCAAGACATCGCACTGCAAAGAGAAATAACTTTTGAGACAAACAGAAATATCACAACAAGCAACACTTGCAGAGATGCACAACAAGATGTGATACAAAGCCTGTGGCATTGGACAGGAGTTTCCTCACTGATTTCCAGGTACTCTAAAACAGAGGGGGAACCTATTGGACAAACGGAGTGGTCACTTCTTTGTGGGCTAGTTGTCAGATTAAGTCTTAGCAATCAGCAATACTTAATGTTTCTCAGAGACCATCAGATGCAGCAGGTATGTCCACAGAATTAAATTACGAGACCTGGGAGAGGGCAGGAAAAGGGTGTCTGGCTCCCCATACTGCTACTGAGCTCCATGCACAGGCCTGTTGTGGATCATTGGAATTAGTTCTCTTCCTGACAGAGCCTGACTTGCAGGAGCAGTGAGGCTGAGAATCACCCCGAGTCAGCCAGGTCAGTTGCAGATCAAGCCCCTTCCCAGGGGATCCCCTCAACTCCTGAGAAATGCCCTTGGGGTGGCAGGTCTTGCTCCCCACTTCCTGCATCCTGGCAGGTGGGAGCAGGGAGAAGGGGACTTCCATGTCTGAACATGACTTTACAGCAGTTAGTCTCCAGGGAGGGGGACTTCACAGTGCCACCAACACAAGCCCTCCCTCTGGCCAGCCATGAGCTGAATATCCGTGTACCTCCAGCCCCATGATCAGATGGCTTGAACCTGAAATCCATCCAAAATAAAGGAACTGAGATGTGGGAATGGAAAGAAGAGATGGATTTGTGCAAAAGGCCATGGCTGGCCCAGGGTGGAGAAAACAACGAGTCTGTTGTGGGCTGCCAAGAGGAAGTTGTCCCTATACTCAGTGTGGTGACTAACCCAACAGAGTGCATCTGAAAGGAAGCCTGAGACAAAGTGACCCTCCAATGGCATTGACTTACATCTGTCCCACTTGAGACTACCTCAGACTGAGCTGGCACACTGACACAGCTTTGTGTGTCATCAGAGCAGCTTCTATCAGACTCTACAGTCATGCTGAAAACATGTAAGCTCTGTATGAGATTGGCAAGTTATTAACCACCATCTATTTGTGTGAGATTGTGCTTTGGTTTCCATCTGCTTTCTATTCATGCTAGCTTTTCTCTGTGGAATTCCTGTTTAGACTGGTGAAACTTATTAAGCAGACTAAAAATCAGAGTGCTATGCTTTATACATACACCTTAACAAGAATTGCTTTAGATGATTCAGTTATAAGTATTATATATGCTCATTACTTGAATATTCCTGTTGTGAAGAATACTTGAAAGTTATTTTTGTGGCTTTAGTTTGTATCTTATTAATGTGAATCCTACTGATACACTATATGATAAAGGTTTTTTATATATGTATAAATACTTACATACACACTTAATATATACACATACTATACTTCACAAAATATAGTACATTGTTTCATGTATTTTTTTGTGCATATGAAGAAAGAGCCTTTGACAGGAAACTGCTCTGTTGAGTTCTGTTCAAGGCTTAGGTGCAATCTTAGAAAATATTTTTTTTCTTGTAAATGATAATGATACCACCAGGTTAATTAATCTCCCATCTACTCTACAGTAACTGCAGGAAGACTAGATGTGAGCCATCATCACTCTTCTAACTGAAACCTTCTGTCTCATAGTGTGACCAAGCTCCAATTCCAAACTCTTGCCCCTTGCAGAGGTTTGGCACACCTGTAAAACAGTGCATGGAACAGAATATCTGGATCCTGTACACATCAAGACTTCAACAATGCTCTTGAATCAATATCTCAATCCAGAATACATTGCTAAGTCAAACAGAGAGATGGAAGCAAATACACCACTGTCTCACTGGAACTGCAGAAAATGCCAAGCAAGCTATTCATAGCTAATTCTGCACCAGACACAAAGAGCAGACATCCAATGCCATGGCAAAAAGGTAGGTGATAGGCTCTGCAAAGGGATCTGGACAGACTGGATCAAAGACCTGAGACCAACTGTATGAGGGTCCAACAAGGCAAAGTGCCACATCCTGCCCTTGGGTCACAACAACCCCAGGCAGCACTGCAGGCTGGGGGCAGAGTGGCTGGAAAGCTGCTCAGTGGAAAGGGACCTGGGGGTGCTGGCTGACAGCAGCTGAACATGAGCCAGCAGTGCCCAAGTGGCCAGGAAGGCCAATGGGATCCTGGCCTGTATCAGAAATAGTGTGGCCAGCAGGACCAGGGCACTGATTGCCCCCTGTACTCAGCACTGGTGAGGCCACACCTTGATGCTGTGTCCATTTCTCGGCTGCTCAATTTGTCTCACACAGAGGTGCTGGAGTGTGCCCAGAGGACAACAGAGCTGGGGAAGGGTCTGGAGCACAGGTCTTACAAGGAGCAGCTGAAGGAGTTAGAATTGTTTAGCCTGGAGAAAAGGAGGCTCAGGGGAGGCCTTATCACACTCTTAAAACTATCTGAAAGGAGGTTGTGGTGATGTGGTGGTTGGTCTCTTCTCCCAGGCAACCAGTGACAAGACAAGGGGAAACACCCTTAAGCTGCACCAGGGGAGGCTCAGGCTGGACATCTGGAAAAATTTCTTCATGAAAGAGTGATTAAGCATGGGAAGAGGCTGCCGAGGAAAGTGGTAGAATCACTATCCCTGGAAGGGTTTAAAAACGGAGTGGACATTTAGTGGTTTAGTGGGAATAGTGGTATTAGGTCAAAGGTTGGACTTGATGATTTTGCAGGTCTTTTCTGACCTGATTCTATTGACAAAACTTGACCATCGGTGATAAAAATGGATCAGTTAGAGGGAAATGGTCTGCAGTTCTGTCTAATTATTCTGCAGTGAGTGTTCTGTACCACTGGCTGAGACAGCCAGAGTATTGCTGAATGAGACAGGCAAAGCAGACAAAAGATAAACTACAGTGACTGTGGATAGACTCGTTAGATGAACTATGTTAATGCATAGTTATGCTGCTAAGCCTGGAATCTACTCTGCATCTTCAAATCTATGGATCCTGCTAAGTGAAGCTTTGGAGTATTTACTCCTGAAAGCTAAGGCAGGAAAAGAACACCTTTGCCTACATGGATGCTTGTCTATTCTAAATACAATACATCAAGTTCTGCAATAATGGAATGCATAGTTAAAATATTTCTGCAATTTCAAAAAAACAGCTGTACTCCAGAATGGAACTCCTTCCTCATAATTTCATTGCTTTTACTGGGGGATGGGGGTAATGGGTAGGTGGAAAAATTCTTGCTGCAGGGAGAAAAAAAATCTAAGGATCTAAGCAAACATAGTGACTAGGAAAAGGATGGTGGAGGGCTGCAAATGAGACAGGTTTCTTTTCCATCAACACAGAAAATAAAGATGGCTATGCACTTATATGCTGGGATTTGGCCCAGCATATGAATCTGCATGCCGTGCACTGATTCCCACTGCTACCCTGTAACAGCAACACAGCATGATTAACTTTTATACACTGTTAAGGTGCTATGTCCTGGATTCTCCAACCCTGACATTTACCTTAAGCACCCAACACAGCAGAGCAGCTCCTTGAATTTCACTGGGTAGCCCCGGAGGAGAGTCTCAACCCTGCCAGGGACCTTCTGGAAAAGCAGGCAAGAAAGGACAGGGAGGACCCTTCTCAAGAGACTACATATTCTTGAAGTCGTAGTGTACCACCTGACTGGCAAATGCTATGAGCTGTGATCAGATTTCACTTCAGTTAGAGTCACCCTTACTATGTGAGCTAGACCTCTCCATGTCAGCTGACCCTACAAATAGTCTCCAGACCCCATTAAAAAAAAAAAAAATACAGCAGGGGAAGTTTGTGTTTGAAAATGCTCCACGGAAGTATGGGAAGCTGTGTTAAAGAGAACCAGATATATCTGTTCTCATCACTGGAACTTTCATGATTTTAATGAAAGAAAATACATCAGTTTTCTTAACAGAAGCCCTCAGAGAGCCCTGCTCTGCATTCTGCCCAGTTTTGCATTCCTTTCATTGCTCAAAGCAGAAGATTTGCAGAATATTTTTTCCCTGCTGTCACAGAGGAGAAAGAATTGGTATTTTGTCCCTCAAACAGTGACTGAATTTAGCTTACAAATAGATCCTCGAGGTAAACAAAATAAGCCACACAGATTTTCCAAATATCACTCTGATGAGTTTTAAAACTTAAAAAACCAAAATGACAAGGACAACAAAGGAGAAAAATACCCAGTGTGCACCGAGATGCACCCTCAGCTGGGCCCCTGCCCATGGCCACAGTGATTTGCCAACCTGGGGCAGGCAGAAGCCTATATTCCTTGCTCAGTTGTGGCCTCTGGGATGCTTCCTCTACATGTGTGGGCTGGTGGGGCAGTTGTTAACCATTACCACTCCAGCAGCTCCAGGAAGGTCTGCTCCACCTCCAACCTGGTCAGGTTGGTCCCTGACTTGGACTGCCATGTGCTGCTTTTATGCAAATAAAAAGTAATGTCCACTTTTATCCTTATTTTGGGATGGATACCATGTAAGGTTATCACACAAAGCATGTCATGGGGAGAAAAAAACATTTAATTTCTGATGGGCCAACTCAGGAATTATAAACCTGAATCTATACATGTTCAATCAGGGCTTCAGACTCCAGGCACAGGGTCTGAAATGTGTCTTCCTGAAGAGGAATACTTTCCTGCAGCAGATCTATCATCTCCACTAAGAACCAGTATTTGAAAGGGATACCAATGAAACCTCCAAATGATGAAACACAAGGAAATTTCATGGCAATCAGTAAAGTGTATGAAAACCCCATAACCTGTGTTAGGACAGAGCTCTCCCCACCCTTGAAGTGAGGCAAATGTCAGAAAATAATCAAGTACTGGTCTTCTATACTGTTGAGGATGAAAGAAAACTGAAATAGATAGACTCAGTTCAATCTATTGTTGCATAGCAATATTTTTGCATTTGCCAGGAGCTGCTCTTTCATCATGTTCTTTTTGTCTCAGAAGAAAATAATTTTTGTTCTTATTCCAGCAAGGAGTGTTGTGAAATATATTTGTCTGGGTGGAAAACATAACACATATTTGGTGAAAAACTAAATGAGAGAAAGAGAGTTGTAATTTTCTTAAGAACATGGCAGGGGGTAGTACAATAATGATTTGGCAGCTAATTTTTTCTCCTGGGCATGTATTTATTTGAGACCAGGGTACTAAAAATGAGTGTGAGGATTAATCCATAATTATTGTGCCATTTCTCCTCGAGCAGCCTTAGCAACAGGACGGGGTTTGGAGCAGTCCCTCTCCCCCTGCTCCTGCAGCCCGAGCCAATGCACACGGGAGTGTCTCCTGGAGCAGCACGCAGACAAAAGCAGCTGAATGTGCCCGAGCACCGGCTGCTGGTGAAGGGTTACACCCAGCATCGGCTCCAGCAGCAGCTCCCTTGGGATAGCACAGGGGAGCTGCAGGGAGAGCTGTCAGCAGTCTCTGGCTAACTCCAAATTCAATGGGGTTTTTGTCCTTTACCTCCCTGGGAGCAGAAGAAGGCCCTTAACAAGCTCCTCACTGGGCTGCCAGGAGCACTGGTGCTATTCTCTGCTAGCTTAGAAATCAGAGATGGAAAAGATCAGCCGGGTCATCCTGTCCCTCCCCTGGCCAGACTATTCCTGCAGAGCTTTTTCCATTCAAGCTGAAGTGCCTCATAGCAACAAAAACCTGAAGGGTATGAATCAGACAGAGAAAGTGCAGAGCTAAGTAACAGCAGCAGCCAGCATAATGCAGGGACAAACTCCCTCACCACATTTTCAGGAAAACACTACCCTCAGCACTGTTATACACCTGCTTCTACAAGTGCAGTGCCCAATTCTACAATGTGTAGTAGAAAAGGCAATGCCAGAATTACTCACCGGTAAATGCCCTAGAAGAGGCGTGATGCTGTCAGACACATAGATGATGCTTCCACCTGTGGTTACTGCTATAATGAAGCCATCTAATGCCTAAGGAAAACAGACAAGTTGAGAGTGCTTTAATAGGAATGAGTGGTGTAAACAGGACATCTCATCATGTATTGATCAAAACAGTTTGACTTCAGCACCATATTGTCATTGAGTTGTAGGAATGTTATCTCAAGTTGCAGAACAGTAATTCTCTGATTTTACAGTCTGATTTAACTTTACAAGATTCTTTGTAGTCTAGTAAAACCTACTATTGAAGCAACAAAGGGCTCACAGGAACATTTCATGTCTCAGTTTTTAAATTAATCACACATTTTAATAATGCAAAATGACTAAGACTGGATCCCTTGGAAGTTATTAAAATGAACATTTGAGCACTGTGTAAATATCAAAGGACGATGAAAGGATGCAGTCCTATCTCAAAATGGTACTTCTCTGCAAACCCCACACATCACAGTTTGTATTAATGTAACATTGTATATTACTGGGCTTTCATGTAAGTAAAGGCAATGCAAATGATCAAATAATCCTTAGCCTGAGTTTTAATTGAGTGATTTATTTTAAAGGTCATGGTATTAGATTACTCATTCCAAGACAAATTCACCCTTCTGCAGAGTTTCTTCCTCTTTGGTCCCATTTTGTGGTAAGCCCCTTCACTCCTAAGACTGAAGGGAAATGTCAGCCTTATCCCCCACCCTCTGCACAGGAGCAATTTCACCTTCAAAATTAGTCTCTTCTTTAGTCTGAGCTGCCAAGTTTTGAGCTAAGTTTTGATCAAAATTAAACCTAGGTAGAATTTCAGATCTAAGGCAAGATTAACTTAATTTTCTGGGGGAATTCTCCTCAGAGCGAACTAAAGCTAGATGATCTTCAGATGACTGTAAGAAGAACATCTCAAAAAATTAATACATAACAGTAGGTGTTCAGATAATACATTAAAACTTTCCCACTGTCATTAGGGAGTCACTGGTGAGGCTCCCAATCCTTAAAGTGGAGCAAGTCTGGGTCCTTCCTCTCAGTTCCCCGATATTCTGGAGTCAGTTTTGCCAGCAGTACTTGAGTAGCAAAGGCACTGTGAACATGACTGAATCAGAGCAGTGTTTGACTATGCTCCAGTGGCCATACCTGCTCAGGAGACAGGTGTACTGCAAGCAGCCTGACCAGAGAGCCACGGCGTTACAAAACCATACTGCAAATCCAGGCCTGTCTCCAAGCCAGACTTGCAGTTGATCTTGTAAGCCACAGCACATCCTTCCCCCCTGCTGACTTCAATAAGGGAAAGAATTCTGAGAACACTGGAAAATGCTAATTGTTAAAAAAAAAAAAAAAAAAGGAAAACACAAAGCCTTGAATAAAGACACAAACATATGTTCCTTTTTCCAGAGAATGCTGAGCACCCACAACTATTTAAGTCAATGAGAATCTGCTGGTACTTCAATCCTTTGAAAAGCAAGTCAATAACTTATACCCCAGTAGAAGAGTGAGTGTTTAGCATCTCTGAAAACCCTCCAGCTGCTATAGTTAGTTTGATTTTGTTAATCTAGGTGCAGACAATATGTTTTTCTCTAGTGCAGCACATTCAAGCTGTTTTCTAAAAAAGCATGATAGCTGTTAACCCATAGTAGAGTGCAGTGGTTCTACAAGGCAGTTGGATTGTGGATGTTACTATGGTGAAGGTTGCTAGTTTTTAAAAAATCAACTCTTTATTTAATATCCAATGCAAATTACACACAGTGACTCATATCAGAACTTTGTGGTAAAATCAAGTTAATGTGTGTACATATAAATCTCTTTTTATATACTTGCAACTGGACATTCCAACATTAGGAGAGCATTTTCTTCTTCAAAGGTTTTACCATTGCATTAGCCCTAGACAGACAAACAGAGCCTAATGCCCACTGTAATTTGGTGACAGCCTTTTCAATGTGGTAAGAAAAGGCCATTTTCAGGAAAGCTGATATATTACTGCAGTCAATTATGCCTTAAGTCTTTTGAATTAGTGCTCGGAAAAAAACCCTTCCCATCTTTTAATAACAGGATAGGAAAAACTTCAAGCAGTCTTGTCCAAATGCAAATAAAATAAGATTCATAGAAAGGCAAAATAGCAGGGAATGATGAACATCTGGCACAACAGGACATCCCAATAACCAATGTTATTTTGAAGGGCATGGAAAATCACAGTAGCAAGAAGGAGATTTATAAGCTGGGAAACTAAAAGTAATTGTTTTAATCTAAAATTGTGTAGCATACAAGTAGAATCAACAAAGACCAACCTGTCAAAACAACAGTCAATTTACTGCTATCTGAGGGACATATTTCAGTGCAGACTGAAGGAGTTATGTGTGTTAAGTTCCTGTGCACAGAGATGGAAATGGGTGGTTGTCAGAGCAATGGGAGCAAAGTGTCTCATAAAACTAGTCCAGGGAAGTCTCATCACAACAAATTGCAATGTCCAAAGGACTGCCAGCCTCTGGGAGCCAGTAATGTGCTCCGGCTTTATGCCACTCCTCGGTGGTGAAATTCTCCCCAACATCCTTCCCTGCCCATCACCAGAGCCTGGATCACGTGCCATGTTCACATCATTTGTGGGAGGAGAAGCTTGTTCTCCAAGGACACTGTAGGGCTATGCAACTGTGTGTTCAGTACAGAAGACCCTTGCTAAAGGCAGTTCTAGCTATTAATGAGAGAGAAAAATACATTCTAGAAACTCATTTGCTTTTCATTTTGAACCTACATAAACACCATTGCATCACCTCCCTTCAAATCCCAGCTAGCATTAAAAGAACCTATGCTATAATTGAAAAACTATGATTGCAAAATGCTAGAATAGGAAGTGTTTGATAAGGGCCTTGAAAATCAGAGTAGAAGTACCAACTGTATCAAGCCAAGAGAAGCTGTCAGGCTTCATCTGCTTGTTCAGCACCTAGCACTAGAGGGACACGACACCACTGCGTTTCAGGTGCTAATCTTGCATAAATATTAGATGCTAACGCCTTCCAAGAACAGGAGAAAAACAGCCATGTCCCCTTTACCTCACCTCTGTTTGTTAAAAAAAAATACATATATATATAACCTGTGATTTGAATCTTTGTCTTGAACTGCTTTTCTTGGGAGTCACAGCACAGCTCTGCAGGCTGTGGCAGCCCAGCGCAACGGTACTCCTGAGAGGGAAGAGCAACAGGTGGGGACTTTAATCCCTGTGACAGCCCTGCTTGATGGTCACATACACCAGTTCCCAAAACCTCCTCTTTTGGAACTGCAGATGACAGTCTGTTCTAAATGCATGGTCATTTTCATAAGTGCTAGACAAAATTAGGAAAAGCGTATGTGCATGTTTACCTCCAACATCAGCTGGGTGAACTCTTCATTGCTGAGAAATGAAGGCTTCCAGTCCTGCTGAATTTCAGAAATCTCCGTCTGTGCTGAGACTTCTAGACAAATAGAATATTTACATCTTTAAAACTGAAATTAACTTCTACCTTGAAATATTACATATGGGCTGCTATAAAAAGAGAGAAATAACCTTTGTATTCAAAAGTTGCAGTTTTCGAGCCCAAAATGTTTTCTTATTTTTTACTCAAGTCAGCTTGTACTGACCTCAGTGGGAGCCTGTATTGACAAGGCCATTGGCTTCAAGCAGCATTACTGGAGTATTGATCAAAAGGTAAAACCACTTTGCATGAAATTAAAATCAAGGAAAGGATTAGCATGTGTCCAATTGCTATTTACAATTTACAGTTTCAAAATCAGGATGCTAGAGAGGCTTCAGCCTATAACTTCTGTGCTAAACAGAACAACAAGAAAGCTCCTTCAGAGGAGCCCCAAAGGGCTGCGACCCCAAACTGCAGAGCTATGGCTCTGTTTTCCAAAAGGAGAGTGAATCACAAGCATTTGCAACAGCTTTACACTGGTGCTGCTGCCACCACCCTCTCCCTACCTTCAGCCACATGGTGCAGAGCAGCCCAGGAGAACTAATGGAGCACCAGCATCTCATCCCAAATCCTGTCTGGAGGACAGGGTCCCCTGTGCTGCCAGTCCATAGGGCCCCAAGAGGAGATCTGCCCCACTGTTGTCCTATCCTGACCCCATGGCAGCCTGCAGAGGGCTTGCTCCTGGAGGGCTTTCCATGGAGGAGTGCAGACACACCAGGATAACAACTCACAGCTTTGCACTGAAACTGAGGACCATACTGGATAGCTGTTTGCACTGTTTGCCTTTGGAAGATGGTCACTTATGTTAGCTCTGAGTCAGACAGGATTCTGGGGGAACAGCTCTCATCTAGAGAAACTTGATCTGGTTTGTAGTTTGCTGCTCCCTCTGCTTCTCTACTCAGGTCTAGTAGTGAGGGGATGGTAAGCACACTTTTCAGCACCTGCTGTTGATTAACACTTTAATTAATCCTGTTGATTAACACTTCCAGAGCAATTCTCTGCGTCCAGAGCACATATGCAAACTGGCCAGAGAAACGCAAATGGATAAATACTAAAGACAGTAAATTTCTACAAGTGCCTTGTGCATTTTGTCACTGAGAAAGAAATCAAAGCCTCTGCTCAGGCTGTATTAGTGGAGATGCAGCTGTTTGCTCCTACCAGCTCACTTGAGTCACTTTCTGCATTCTGGGGGCTGTCACTGGAAGCACAGAAACTCTCCACAGTCCCTATGGTTTTACACGAAGGTTTGAAAAACAGGCTAAAGAAAGAGTCCATCAGATTTTTTTAAGTAGTTTTAGGATATAGGATACTTTCAGCAGATATGTACTTGGAAAGCCAATGTACATGAAATGGTGACAGTTGGAAGAATTACTTGAGATTTGGGAGATTCTGTGGATTATAATGAAGGAGGCTGTTTATAAAGGAAAAAAATCTGAAAATTTACCTTCTTTAGATGCTATGACTAAAATCTTGGTTTAGCCTACCAAATGGAAGGGGAACATGACTCAATATATCAGATCCAAGGTATGCTGAGGATAATCAACACTTTTAAATGCTGATGCTTTGTATTATATTCTGTGACTACTAATCTGGTTTAAAAATAGGTAACATTTGCTTTTTTTATCAAGTGCACAAACCCCAGTCACACTTTGACCCAATTGCTGTGGAAAGATTTGTGACTGTTAGTTTTTCTTCATGTAGTTGTTTTTCAAGGAAAAGCATAAAAGCATCTTTTGGAGAAAGTTATTTGGACCTTCAGCTCCATTTCTACACTTATTTCAAATCTTGGGTGATTGTTCTTTGCTTAGTTTTATAATTGAGCATATATACATCTTCACATATTCACATCTTGGGCAGCAAAAAAAAGGTGAGTCATTACTACAAATTTTTAAAAAGTGTACATAACTATTCAACTTTGAGATGTCCTGGTCATCCCTCCTGTACAAACCATAGGTTAACAGCTGAACTCATTGGTCTTAAATGTCCTCTCCAACCTAAACAAATATATGATTCTAGTTTGACTGTGGCAAAAATTCATTTAAGAAGAAACTGCACTCTAATGCCAGAACCACTATAATTCCTCAGTAAGACTGACATCTGTGACCCCATTCTGTTGAAAGTCATGATATAAGAGTTTTAATGGTCTTTCCTGTTACACCCAGAGTTCTCCAGAGAGTGCAGGAGGGAGGTGCTGGATGAGCCAAGGTAAGCCCAGTGACGTAGTGCATCATCTTGTGAGACCCCTGCCTGCTTTCTGAGACCAGGGGCATTCCCCACAGTCACCCACTGAAACCTCTTCCTCATAGGGGCAGAGCAGGAGAGCCCCATTTTAAACCAGTGCCCAGATTTATAAGGGAGGAGCATTTCAGTTCACCACTACTGGTGGATGTCAAAGCATCAGGAAGGCCACAGTGCCCATTCCTCCCTCTGAATAGAAACTAGACCAAAGAACGTAGAGGGTCAGAAATCTCTTCTGCCCTCTCTGAAGGTACATTTCTAAGGGACTTAAATATCACTGGTGCAAGCATTTTGAAAAATGAACTCCAGGCTTTCTGATGCTGAACTTGACTACTGCAGCTGGATGCTGTGCACATGTGATGTAGCCTGTGCTTGTGCAAACTGGGTGAAGCATGTCAACTATCTGTCGATGCAATTTGCTGATGCCAGCTTCAAAAAAGGAGGCATTTTCTGGTCCGAGTTTTCTACTCAGTGTGGAAAATTGAGTCCTACACAGTCCACTGAGGAGCTGGGGTGCTGAACAGATTGCTTCCCTGCACTTTTTTCTTCAGAGAAACTGGGGAGAATGCTTCGTTCTTCTACTTAGAATATTGCAAATTTCAAGTAAGGGAATCTTCCCTCTGCTCCTAAATCTCTCTTGTTCAAAGCATATGTCTTCTTCGTGAGTGCTGCAGGGCACTCTGTTGCCCTCTTTCCCTCACTTGCTGCCATTTTTCCTCTTCTCTAGCAGGTTGAGAGTCATCTTCAACTAAAGAGCAAATAAGGAGATGGATTTGGGCAGCACATTGTCTGCAAATGATCTTTTTTGATGAGATAGGAAAAAAGCTCAAATACCTTATGTTGGAACGTTTAGGTCCCTCAAGATGTTCTGATAATCACCAAAGGAAACAGGATATTATAGTAACTGTCTGCTAAGTGCATGAAGAGCTGCACCGAATCTTACCATTGTGTTTCTGCAGAAAGCCGATGACTTTTTCCAGCACAGTAGTTTTGTCCATTTTGCGAGTGTTGCCTGGAAGCATGGAGCTGAGCTCTTTGATGAGAACATTGAACTGATCACGCCTCTTTTTCTCAGACTTGTTACGCGAAGCCCTGTAGACAGGGGAAAAGAAACAAAGAATGAGCAGAGCAAGAAGGAAAATCATCATGTACCTGCTCTTTGCAATGTAGCTACATAAAATTAGCTTGCTGCACGCATCAGCATATGAAAATTGACACTGGACTCCAACAAAGCTGCAGAAGCAAATAGGAAGCAACAGTTCCCACCTCCTGCTTTTGTCTTTGAGCCACTTTTAGTGTCCAGCGGGGTGACGGAGGCTCTGCTCACTCCTCTGTGCTGCCTCTGGACACTCCGGCTGAGCTTATCAGGACAGCATTGAGCTTGGAGTTGGAAGGAGCTCTGTCCATCTCCCAGACATATGGAGGATCTTAAAAATTCATGCTGTCTCTGAGGAGGCACTCAGAGTGAGAAGAAATAGGAATATTGTGACAACAGTAAAACTGTCCATAAAGAAGAAGAGTAGAGACTGGATCATACGCATCTGCAGTCTTAACAGAAGAGAGGGACCCCAGTCCTGCTGCTATTGCACTGGAGCTGGGTTGATCTACAAGGACCTGCTGCTCTGGTCACAGGTGCTCTGCCTACCTTCAGGCTGGCAGAGAAGAATCAGGATATTGTCTTCCAGTCATTAAGATCAGAGACCTGAGTAGAAGTTGCTGCAGCTCTCTTCTGGTTCATATACCAGTTTATTCAGTCTCCTTTCCAAGGTCACAATGACAAGCAGGAGAGAGGGCATCAGCATGGATTGTCTGAGGTTGGGATGCATTGCCAACTGGGGTCTTGGAAGTGGCAGCAGTGCTTGCCCTTAATCTCTGTGTGCCACTGGGAAAATCAGTGTCAGTGCCCCAAGTCTCTAGGTTTAAAACAATGACTCTATAGCTTTCTTCACCAGTCTTGTCTGTTTAGCTTGCAGATTCCTCAGAGAGAGCCTCCTTCTGCTGCTGTCTTTCAAGAGCTCAAAGGAAGAAAGGATCTGATTTCATTTGGGGTGTTTTGGCACCATCATAATACTGTCATTAAGGCTGTTGATAATCTTTTCAGCATGCACACTTTGGTTTTTTTTAACTCTATGCCAATCTGTACACACGGATTTTCTGACTTGTTCTCAGGCATACCACAACTGTTTGACTCGGAGGTTATCACCTGGACTTCTGTATCCATGTGGAAACAGAAATAAGTATAGCCCAGTAGGTCTGTTTATTCTTCTGAAAGTTCCTCAGACAGATGAGACTTGCCTTGTCAATTACGCAAAGACTGAAAAATTTGGTTACATGTAGATGGAAAAGGCAAGAGGCCAGTTCTCTGACTTTCCCAGTCCCAGCTATCTCTGCTATCCCTCAAAGCAGCTCTGGATGCACACTGCTGAAAATCAGAGCAGAATTTAGCTCAGCATCTACATCTCCTGTGAGGACCAGGATAGCAATAAACATTTTCAGCAGAGAAATCACTACAGAGGCTTCTGGATGGTACTACTGACAGAGGGGTAATTTTTGTTTTGCTCTCAACCCTGAACACACTTGGAGATACACTGGATAGAAGCCAATGCTTGATTATTTTACAGCTTTGAACACAAGAGATTGGGTGGATACTGCCTGACTGATTTCAGCTTGCTCTTATTACACTGCAAAAGGCTGTCAGAACAAGATGTGAAAAGCTCCAGCCTTATCCTATTTCTCTACAGTTCAGGGCAACGTTAAGAATATCAACATTTTACTTTCTCATAATTCAATCCAGTTCATTTTAAGCTTAAAGAGTGCATATTTTCCCTGAAAATAAAGTAAACCACCAGCTATCAATAAGGAATGTGTTGCTTTATAAAAAAAAAGAAAAAAAAGAGAAAAATAAAAAAAGCCTTTACAGAAATATGAAGTATCTATATTTAACACTTGACATTTTATTCACAAAGGAAATATAAAAACTCCTCTAGTGGAAATAACTCTACCAAGATGTGAATTGATCACAGTAGAGTTTTCAAATGGAAAAAATGAGAAAATATTGGAAAAATTATAAAAACTATCCCTGCACAGTTGAAAACACTTTGTTTAATACAGTTATAAATGCATGAAGTAACATAGTTTTCAGCACTTCCCTTTGAAAATTATTTTGTAGCCTTGCTTACTTCACTGCTAGGGCATAAAATTACAGTAAGCCTAAACAACCTCTGTCTTAATTGCATACTACCTGTCCCAATTCTCCTCCCTCCTTGCTACTCCATAAAGATTATAGCATATTCAAGGGGAAGGAGGAGACACAGTATGAATAAAATCACGATTTTTAGTGAATACAGCTAAAGGCAAGACAGAACAGCCTGAATTCAGAATGATCAAAAATCAAAAATTTAACAGCAATTTTTATTCACTTACATATATTCTTAGACAGATACTGACCGAGTAGTAGATGCTACATGTTGCTAGTTTACAATGAAATGTGACTTTACACTAAATTTCAGATTTCTTCTGGTTGTCCAGTGGAGTGTTTTATATATGCATCAATGCAAGTAACTGTACCACATACCTTCATTCAGATTCTTAAATTTACTTTTTATTTCAGTGGAAAATGGCAGGTAGTCTTCATGATTAAGCACTTTCTCATGGTTCACTTCAAGCTGGTTTTGGTTGGATTTTGGAATTCAACTGAATTGTAAAAAAAGTTATTTTAAAATTATATACTATTAAAGTAAACTGAAAGAAGAGCAAATAGAGAAAAAAGTGCACAAAGCACACCTTTTGTTTAGAACTAATAAATCTCTAAAACCAAATTAAACCTCATCTAGCATCAAAGAACTGAAAAGGAAACTATGACTTCTGATCTGAGAAGATCAGAAAACCTCACATAGGTCTTCAATGCTCCTAGCTGTGGTGCAATCATACCCACATTTTAGTCCTCAGGTGTTCAGAGTGAAGATGTGCCTTAGGGAGTCAGGTGATGCAGAATAGGGCTCAATTTAACCAGTGTTCTTCCTGATCTTGGCCAAATATTAAACATCTGGCTCAGGGGTGGGAGTGCAAGTACCTCTTCTCAGGAGACGATATAATACAACCTTTTTTCATGTCTGTATAATGCAACCTGTACATGCCTAATAAATTGCAGCAGATATACATGGTGTGTATGTGTATCTCTACACCCACCTAACCTGAGAAACTCAGCTCCTGGCTTGACACCATCCCAAAAACTTAGGTCCAGAAATTTTCAGTCTCACCTACTTTTGACAGAGAAAATAAAAGGAGAGAACAATTTCCTGGGCTTTTTAATCCCCTCTGACACTTCTCAGTCCTGAGGGACCCAGTCCTTCTACCAAATAGAAGCAAAACAAAGCATTTCCCTTGTGGTATAGGACAGGTCAGAGTCCTCAGTTTACAAGACACAGTAGCAAAATATTAATCAAATAGCTTCTCCTAAGTTTGACCCTCTCCAGAAGAAAACCTGTGGCTTTTAAATGAATCTAAACCATTTCAGTATAATGTGTTAACTTTAGACCTTCATGAAGCATCTCATGATTTCAAACTCAATTTCAACTTTAGCTTTATTTCTAAAAAGCAAAATGAACTTAAATTACAATTTGAAGAAGCAGTTTCCTTTTTTAATTTTTAAAGTTATAACTTTTTTATGCACCCTGATAGAGGCCTGCCCCAGGGTACGACAAAAATTCCTTCTGGGAACAAACAGCATGAAAACCATACCAGATGGTGATGACAATTGCCGATAGCAAGGATACGTCTTATCCTATTTTTTTCATATATGCATTCATTTAATGAATTTTTCTTTTACTAGACAACTAGCACACAAATATCTTGAAGATGATCAGGTCTTTGGCAGGTGAAGCAGTGCTGCGAGGTGGGCTCCTTTCTGCACCCTCCAAAAGGAAGCAGAGGGGAACAACTGAGCCTGGCTGCAGCCTGTGCTGACCTATATTGGTGAGACAAAGCTGCAGGGAGGGAAAGAAGAAGAGAAGGAATCAAAAGAGATGAAATTGGATCAACTGCTTGTGCCTGGACTGGAAATACTCTCATTAGAAGGAACCAAGGGGAAAAATGTGGGTAACCTCTGTCTCTCTCTAAAGTAATTAAACTGCAGGCTGAGGCATTGATAACCTCAAATGCTTCCAAACTGCTTTTCTGCAGATGCTGGTCAGCTCTGACAGTTACTATGAGTTTCATTGCCACAGGTCTTCTGCCTTGAAACACACCTTTTCTCTCCCAACAAAAGGTTCACAGTGAATTTCCACCAACTGGGACTCAATGGAGTACAGGCTGTATGTGAATATGGGTTTGTGCCAGTTTAAGCCTGACTTTTCGTGGTCTTTCTCTGCTCCGAAGGTAATTTCTGGCTGTTTTCATTGCTGCGAGATAGGCATTGATGAATAAATGACCATTCTAATAGGGAAAAAAACCCCACTTTTCCTGTTCTTTTTCTTTTGCAAAATGTATTTAAAGAAAAAAGAAAACCACAACATTTTTGTACACTCTGGAAGCTCAGATGATGTATTATAGTGGCAGAAGAATGTTGTTGGTGCTTCAGTTCTGATGTTCTGCAGTAATGCGAAGAAAATGATCAATGCCTTGGCTTTTTTAACATTTTCCACAGGAAACATTGCTAGGTTATTTTCTTCTTACAGTGCAGCCAGGAGTAAGAGTCTGAGATGGAAATTTTTCAAGTTGCATTTGACTGTATTTTACTCTCTTGCTCTTTGATTAATTGATTATGGATAAAACAGCTTCTGCAGCAACAAACAGTATCAAGCTCATCATAGAGAGTTGTAAAAGAAAAGATACTCACCTCTTTGCCCTGTCTTTCTCATCTTCATCCATTAGATTGTCTAAGCAGTTTTTTCTGTTGAAGGAATGCAAGAATCAGTATGAATTGTCATTTTTTTAGCTCTATTTGCAGGTTAATCTCACAGTCACTCTATTTCAATTTAATAACACAGTGATGATATCCAGGTCAGATAAATGTGTCAGCAGTGCTCTATGCCACAGTCCTTGATTTTAGGAAATATCCATTGTGGGTAATGTTATTCCTGAGCATTATGCTAGCCTTAGGGTCTCTAGCCAGGGATCAAGGCTCCCAGGCACTATGTGGAGCATCAGCACAGCACAAAAACAGCCACGTCTTGGGGACTTTTTTTGTGCAGCAGTTACTCTCCGCAAACTTGTAGGCTGAATGAGCCTGGGATCTGCTCAAGCTGAAAAGCATTTTCATTACCCTCATGTTCCCACCAAAACCATCTTCAGTGCAAGAGCCTGCATCACGGATGCTTTTGACCTCTCTGCTCTTCCTACTGGGAAGCTCTTCATCCTCCTCTGTGGATCATGACACAAAGCCAAAAGAGATGGTAATGACTCTAGTGAATAACACCTCAAATTCATAGTGTCCTTATAAATCCCACTTCCTAAGCCATACTACAAAACCCTCTTGCAGCCCAGTCAGAACACCCACCCAGCCATGCTGGCACCAAGCATGGGGACTGTCCCATCCCCATCACTCTTTTTGCTAATCATCACCAAAGTGTTATGACCTCAGCTTTGTAGTACAATTGCTCCAGCAGTGTGAGCTGTAAGCAGAAAAGGGTAAATTGGGTAAATTAAGTAAATTTGTGTAGGCAAGGCAAAGGGAAAAATACAAAAGCAGCCCAGCTGAAGGCTGAGTGCCTCAGAAACACTTGTCACTAACTCACTGCCCACCCTCCTTTGCTCCATGACATTATGAGACAGCAACACTTGATCTGTAACCTCTTCAACCCAAGAAGGAAGCCCTGTGCTACTGCACCCCTCATGGCATCTGGCACCACTTTAGGGTACAAAATCCATGTGCTGCTGCATCCCACACTAATATTTTCTGGAACAGCAGCACAATGCCACTCGATATTGTCAAAGCCTCATTTTTAAAGCAGTGGTGTAGTGATAGGCAATGATAACACTCTTTTTCAGCAATCAATGTTTCTCATTTAATGATTCTTCAACATGTAAGACATGAATAAAATTGGAAGGGAGGAGGAAGGAAGTTAATTGCTAGGCTTTATTTAAGCCCATGTTATTTTGCACACGAGCCACTCATAAATTTGCCTATTTAAAGAACATTTTATGAAAAAAACAAAGTGAAAAAGCAATGATAGTAAAAACAGTGCTTCTGTTACTAGTTCTCTTACAGCAACATTCTACCTGGTCATTACTCAACAGTTAGGTAAGAACACAAAGCTACCCTATAACTTTTTATCAAATGAATTATGAGGAATTAGAGCCACTGGTCACTGATTGGAGGGTAAAGCTACTACTTAATGGCACTTAGCTCTTTGATGAAAGATAAACAAGAAATATGAAAGCCAAGGGACTAGTTTTTTCAGTCATAACTGGTGGATTTAAATGGCTGAATTCCATTATTCAGAAAAACATAACAAATAATACCATGTAGTTTTTATACTTTTTTCAGACATTTGTTTTGACTTGCAAAACAGCCAGCCATGACTTTTGACTTGCAAGTCAGCCATATCATAATCCATATTTTGGACTAGGAAAATGTATAAGGCCAGTAAAATTCTATTAACCAGTGCTTTACATATCTTTTAGGTGCTTATTTGCTTAATCCCATAATGAAACTCTTATGCAAATCAATATGTTTTCAAATAATTCAGTCTAAAATGTAGTGACACTATTCAGTGTGTTTTGTTGTTATTTGCTCACTTATTGCTACCTATGCTATTCAAGAATACAGAAGGCACCATTTAAATAGTAGGATTAGCATTCAGGATTTTGCAGTGTTTCTTTGCTAAATCTTTGCTCACAATCATAGAATCACAGGATGTTAGGGGGTATGAAGGGACCATAAAGATCATCTAAACCCAATGGTGGGAGGACACCTTGCACTAGACCAGGCCTTATCCAACCTGGCCTTGAACACTACCAGGGCTGAGACATGCATAACCTCCCTGGGCAACCTGTTCCAGTGTCTCACCACACTCACAGCACAGCACAGCACAGCACAGCACAGCACAGCACAGCACAGCGCAAAATGTTCTGTTGCATGAACACTTGTTGAATCTAGGCTATGACAATCAAAATGGGGCAGTATCAGCAGCACAAGTAGCTCTCCCTGAATCCCTAAAGGTCTTCCTCACAGAGGCTTTCTCTGGTTGTAACAGATTCCCAACAGAAAGCAGGAATATGTGGACAAGTGTGCTGAGTGGCCTGTGAGGAAGGATGGAGGTGGATGAGACAGTCAGTACTGGTGCTGCTCAGCCCTGGCTCTCTTGGAGAAGCACAATGCATCTAATGAAAGGGGCTTCCTACAGTGTACCCCATAAACTATCAAGAAATTACACTGCCAGGAAGCCTCTGCTCTTGAGAGAGAGCAACAGATCTAACTGGTCTGTTCTGCCAAGGATTTGGCTAAATCTGTAAAGCAATTCATGGCCAGCTTCCAGTAAACAAGGTTTCTCACTGACTGACATGAAATTCTGGACCTGCTGTGCTGTTGCTAGCATGAGACAATATCTAATTGTCATTTTGCTTCTGTTTGCTCACATGTCAAAAACTCTAGAGCATCACAGGCATTGCTAACAGGGTTTCTAGTACATATGTACCATATGAAATTATGTACTGTATGAGATTAAAACTGTTCTCAATAAAATAGATACATCAGAGTATACAACTGGTGTAAACTGGTATTACCATCCCTCTCCAGAGCCCCACCAGATGCTGCCTTACACCTTGATGGAGAAACCCATGTCAAGGAGCTTAGTGCAACCTGCTTCCTTTATGTTATTCTCCCAATCCCTCAGCTGTGAAGCGTCCAAACTGCAAACTGGAAACCTACTGTCTCTTGATTTAGGAGAAAATTCTGACTCATTGCAATGATGGAGGCAGGCACTAAATACCAAGGCTCTCTGCCACGGTTCCCCTGCAAAGGAGTGACATAAAAAAAACAAGTGGCACAAGTATTTCTCAAACTGTGAAGAATCCTTTCACGATAAGAAAGGCAATTTGGAAACCTATAGGTAAGAACACCACATGATGTAACTCCTGCTAGCAGAGTATTTAACAATGACAGTTACATTTGGAGCTTCATTAGTATCATCATTATCATCAAGGAATGAAGACTATCACTCAAAAAGATGGGAACTACTTGGAACAAGGAGGAGAAAGCTCATGTTCCTCCCATCAGGGAGGAACATATACAAACACACAGAAAGATGCATATCCACAAGTAGGTAAGAATGGCATTTTGGAAACAAAAGACTGGCTAAAGCTGTTAACTGTGTACCCCTGGCTTAGTTATCAGATGGAGAATTATAGCACAAACATTTCCCCCCCCATTCATTCATACATTGAATAGTTGCTTGGGAAATAAGCACTTCAGGCAGAGTGCCAGCTCGCTCTAGGGACTCTCCGGAAGAAAGGTTGCACATGTTTATTTTGATACAGTCTATTCCCACAGGACACAGAGCTTGCACTATAAAAAAATCATCTGGCACTGATCACCTTATCCTGTTCTAGAAATGTGTTTTTTATTGAGCTAAGCTACTACTTTTCTGGGCTGGTGAGGTTGGTTTCACTCTTTCCTGCCCTACTGCTCACAAGGATATGCTGTAGACACTCAAATGTAGGTAATCAGTTATTGATTTCCCACTAAGTTGCCACAAGGCCAGCTAAGTTCTTACAAATCAGCCTGATACCTGATATTTATCAGGAATTTTTAATAATATTAATTTAACTCAGCTGAATTAAATCAGAGATGTAAACTTCCTTCAGAGGTCCTGAGATGTGCCTGGGGAACCTTCATGAGAAATCACAGTGTTTGTACTTCCCTGGCCCTTATGTTTGGCAGCTCAAAGAAAAGACTGGATATTCCTCCTCATCCCCCTCTAGCAGATGGGGTGTTTGCCTCCATCACCCCACAGGTTTGCCTGGATATTCCACCACTTGTCCTGCACAGGTATGGTCAGCCCTGGGAAGAGGGATGCTCCCACCCACTGCAGACATACCTGAGCCTTACACCTCAGATCACTTGGGATGCTGGTACAATACAACAAATCCTAATTAAAGATGATGATGCTGCACTTGGAGAACAATCCTGTCAAAGACAGGGGATGGGCAAGGCTTGTATGGAAAACTGGAATGCTGGGATGAAACACCTTGAACTATCCTCTGACGTCTGGGAAGATCCTTCCCTACAACTGCTGTCTTTGTGAAGGAAAAAGAAACAGAGCAACAGTGTAGGCATGCTCCCATGCCTTCCAGACACATTGCTCAGCCTCCAGGGCCCATCCCTGCTCAGCATTCCTCCTGTTCTGCCTCAACAGGGCATCAACTCTCCCATCCCCTCTTTGAAGGGAAGGAAATGGCTGCTAGCAAAGAGGTCAGTGTTATACAGGAGGCACACAGGTATCAAAAGAGAGTAGACAGGTTCTAGGCATGATCCAGGGGAAAAGCTTCTAGGCACCCACTAGCACAGGGGACAGAGTAGTTGGTCACTGTGTTAGCATTGCTGCCAGATCCCCTGCCCAGGGATGATGAACTAGGTCTGCTGGGCACTGTGGTTGGTCAATGGAATCATCCCATGGGTGTTCCACAGCGTGGGTTAGATGGGATTTGCCCACCCTGGGGAGCACCACTGTGGCTAGGAACTCTACCTGCTTTCCCTCAGCTAAGTAGAGCTCTAAAATGAATCACACTAACAAATGACACATTTCCTTTCCAAGGCCTGCTGGAAGGCAAAGAGAAAGATCAGCAACCAGGAAACAGCAGCAAAGGTGACAGAATGAACACAAGAAGTGACCATCTGATCATTTTAAGCACCTTGTTTCAAGTTTCTGTAACATGGATGAAGCACTCAGA